TATAAGAGTATAAAGAGTATATGATATAAAATTAATTCATACATGAATTACATCTTTTCATTCAACCATTCAACAAGTATTTATTAAACCACCACCATGGTACAAGTCTAATAATAGCTCTTTCTAAAACTAAGAGTTCTTCCTTTAGGACAGGCACACTTATTTCCACATATCCAAAATTATCTTAACTTCTTTCAGCTCTAATGATACATATTACATTACTATGGACATAAAGCCAATACAACGGTCAGGATATAAGATACACTCTTTTGAACCAAGGTCAGTAGTATGTTAGATGGATACTCAATATAGTAGCTTCCTAGTGCAAAAAGTTAAGGGGTTGGTTGTGGAAAAAAAAATTAAACTATTGAAAGAAAGTTAACACACTCATTGCCATCTAACAGAAAAATACCTCTGGGATGCCTGGGTTGCTGTCAGTTAAACCTCTGACTGTTGGTTTTGGCCTACATCATGATCTCAGAGTTATGATATCAAGCCCTATGTGGGACTCCACATCTAGTTCCGGGTCTGCTTGAGAGTCTCTCTCTCCCTCTGCCCTTCCCCCTGCTCCTGAGCCCTCTCTCTCTCAAGCAAATAAATAAAATCTTAAAAAAAAAAAATGCCTTACTTCAATGTCCAGGATGACATTACTAACCCTTTAAAAATAAGCTAATTAATTAATTCACCTGTTTCTGATTTCTTTCTAAGAATGGTTGAAAGGGTTTCCCAAATGTGTGATTCAATTTGCTCCTATCTAGCAAAACTGTGTTTGGGAAACTATTTTGTCAAGAAATAATTTATACTACTTTCTAAACTGAAATGAGTGACCAGAAATGAAAATGATAACCTGAATTACATTTTTTTTTCCAAAAATAGTAGCATTTAAGACTAATTTCAAAAAAGGTTCTCTATTTTGGAACTGTATTAAAATGAACTAACATTATTCAGTTCACCCTTTTCAATACTGGTACATGAATTAACAGTTACAAAGGAAATTAGTGAATTGTAATGCAATTCACTGAAAACTAAATATGATGACATTAGGACGTCAGAATTTTATCTATAACATCGTTTATAAACTTTTATTATAAAACAGAATGAAATAGTATAAAAATTAATTAATACTAAAAGCTAAAGGAGCCAAAGGGCACTTGGGTAGCTCAGTCAGTCAAGCATCCCTCCATGCTGGGCATGGAGTGTTAAAAAAAAAAAAAAAAAAAAAGCTAAAGGAGTCAAGGCTGAATTCTGAACTGATCCGAAATAGGGGACTGATGGTGATAATTACATGTAGAAGAAAAAGTATCAGATTTCCAACTTCTATTTTAAAATAACAAATTATTTTATACTAACTGTATCTTTTATTCAATGTCTACTCTGAGTTTAAAATACAGTTACTGTTTCTTAGTATTTCCTCTACTGTATGTTAAATGCTTATACTCACAGTTCAAAAATTAAGAACCTTGATTCTATCTGGCAGCTAATTTTCTTATGCTACTACTTCATTCTTTTGTACCTGTTTTCTAGAGGTATTAAAGGTGGCAATCCTGAGTTTACAGTTTAAAGATCAAACTCAGGAAGACTTACAAGATCCTTCCCCACCTGGTCTTAGCTTTTCCCAGGCTTATCTCCCGACACTTTTCTTTCCTGTCACAGCTCCTACTCTCCTCTCCCAATTTTGCTACCACCATTTATGTTCTAGTCCCAAAGTGAATTCACAGTTCTCTTAATATGTTGTCTTTCAATATCTGATCTTTGTGTAATCTTTTCTCTCCACCCAAAAACCTTTTCTTCCTGTTCATTTGCCTGACAAACTCCTATTCATCCTTCTAAACACACAGTTATTTTCAATGCTTGCCTCCCTCAGGTCAATTACCATCTTTTTCTGTTCCTCCATTTCCTTTCTATTCATACCTATATCATAATTCTTAAATATATTATAATCATTTGCTTACTTACATATCTATCATCACACTAACAGTTCGAGAATAAGAAACATCTCTTTGAATACATGGCATTCAGTATTCAAAGTCTTACACTGAATGAAAGACTGCCACGCTGAAGTTCAAATCTCAACAATGAAATTTCCTGGCTACATGAGCTTAGGTAAATTAATTTCTCTAAGCCTCAGTACCATCATCTTTAAAATGAGAAAAAGGTAACTAAGCCATTACTTGGGTTGTCAAAATTAAAGGTAAAATTTTAAACCATTGAAACTGATTCAAGCAAGAATCATCAAAGGATGCTAATAAAACCATTAGGTAAAAGTTTGTGAAAGAACAAATTATTTCCAGTCTCAAATACCACTCCCCATGTTATCTGTTAATAGCTGATAGAAAAAGACAACTTTACAATGGACATCACCTTAACCAAGTGATTAAATAACACCAATAATGGGAGAAACATCATGTATATTCTGATGCATTGACAATGATACATCTATGAAGCATTTCTATCAAAAGCTGTGTAACTTGAATTTCTAACCATAAGGAACAATAGGACAATTCTCAATTAAGGAAAACAATTAGCCAGGACTTTTCCAAATTGTCCCTGTCATAAAACAAGTGCCCTCAAAAGAAAAACGAAAGAAAGAAAGAAAGAAAGAAAGCCCCACAGGAAAACTACCGAGAGCTAAATGATTAAATGAATGGAATCACTCAATCCTTGATTGGATCTTAGGTGTTTTTAAACATGCTGTATCTAAAAATAAGTTAAAGAGAACCTTATTGAGATGACTACAGAAATCTAAATACATTGTTATACATTAGTAGTAGTAGTATTATACTTAAGTTAAATTTTCTAGGATGTTTAACTGTTCATGATTATGAAGAAGAATGGCATTTGTTTAAAATATCATGTTGAAGTACTTAGGAGTTAAGTGTCATGATATATGCACCTAATTCTCATATGGTTCAGCAAAATGCATATATTTAGATAAAGAAAACAAATGTGACCAAATATTAACAATTGATGAGTATCGGTTAAGAACATATGGCTTGTCAGTCTAATATTTTTGCAACTTTTACTCATATTTGAAATATTTTAAAAAATAAAACGAGAAAATCATTTAAACAAAAAAATTAAAATTAAATGAGAATGCAAGTAGAGTGCTTAACACAGTCCCAGCACAAGGCGAGTTACTATTATTACTGTTGGTACTACCTGTTAATGACAGATTAAGCGACTAATCTAAAAAATTGTTATACTGGTTTCACTAGAATTTGACCAGAAGCGGAGAAAAATGCACTCCCATAAAACTGGACTGTGCCGTAACAAACCTGGTACCATAAAAATATACCATTACAACATCCCTAAATCACAGGTTTAATCCACTTTTGAGTCTTCTTTAAAGAAGTGTTTAGAGGGGGGATCCCTGGGTGGCTCAGTGGTTTAGCACCTGCCTTTGGCCCAGGGCGTGATCCAGGATCGAGTCCCGCGTCCCGCGTCCGGCTCCCAGCATGGAGCCCGCTTCTCCCTCTGCCTGTGTCTCTGTCTCTCTGTCTCTCTCTCTCTCTGTCTCTTATGAATAAATAAATAAAATTAAAAAAAAAAAAAAGAAGTGTTTAGAGGCCCCTGGTGGCTCAGTCGGTTAAGCGTGTGCCTTTGGCTCCTGCCGTGACCTGGGGCTCCAGAATGGGGCCCAGCATTGTGGGGTCCCTGGCTCGGTGGGGAAGCCTGCTTCTCCCTCTCCTGCTGCTCCCAGTCTGTGGTGTCTCTCTCTCTCTCTCTCTCTCTCTCTCTCAAATAAATAAAATAAAATAAAAATAAAATAAACATGTATTTAGTGGGTTTCTACTATATGCTAGTCCTTGTTCTAGGCCCCTAGGACAACAACAGCTTTCATTAAAAAAACAAAACCAAAACCAAAAACACCTGCCTTCGTAATACTCACATCCCAGGGAAGCAAGACCGCAAATGAAGGGAGACAGCAAATTACACGGCGTGTGAAAAAATCGTTACGTGCACAGGAGTAAAACAAAGCAGGAAAGGAGCACAGGAAGCGGGAGGAGGGCTACAATTTAAAACAGGGCGATCAAGACAGACCTTCCTGGGGTGTCTACCTGGCAAAACTGGTAGCCACCTGAACAAAAGAGCGTCGGGGAGCCTGCCAGGCAAGGTCAAGGCTCCGTGAGCAGGTCAGGTCCGTGTGGCTGGACTGAGGCAGCCAGGAGGAAGCTGAAGGTGGTGCCAGAGACGGGAAGGGGCCGGAGCCTGACCACATGCCATGTACACACACCGTCGCCAGGGATCTGGCCTCTACCACGAGCAATCCTGGGGAGCCCCAGCAGGTTTCGGAGCAAAAGAGTGACATGATCCGAGATGTCCTGCACACCAGGCTCACTCTAAGTGCTTCCTACCCAACTCCCTGGTTCCCCAGTCCCATCCACCACCACCCCACCCCACCCCACCCCACCCCCGGCCCCGACCAGGTAACCTTCCAGTCGAAGCGGATACTGAACCATCTCTTAATGGAAACCGCGAGGTGTGTGCCCGGCTGCAGACAGCTCCGGCCGGGAACACCTCTCCTCTCACAAACCCCCCATCTGCCCAGACACGACCCAGCCCGTCGGCGGGGACGCACACACAACAGAGAGGTCACACTCGACACGCAAACACACGCCTCCCGGCAGCCGCGCTCCGCACGCCCTCCGGACGCGCGCGTGGTGCGGCCAGCCGCTGCGAGGCCGGAGCTCCCCGGTCGGCGAGGCCCTCCGCACTCACCCGCAGGTTCCCCTTGGTCCGCTGCTTGTTCTTCCCGCCCATGGTCGCGGTGTCAGCCGCACTCCCGGCCCGCAGCCCCGTCGTTGACACCGCCGGGCCACAACTTCCGGTCCCCGGCGCCGGAACAGGGCCGACCCGAGCGACTTCCCAGGCCCTCCCCTTCCGCCGCCCACCCCGCCCTCCCGCCGCCCCGCTTCCGCTCCCGCCTCCCGCCGGGGCCCGCGCCAGCCGCCGCCGGAAACGTCACAGCTAGAGCCACGCCTTTCTGAGTGACGTCATCCGTGCCCAGTAAGAGGCCAGGTAGGAGCGCCGGTCCCGCGCTCGGCGAGTGAGGGCTGTTCCCGTCTTGGCGGGTAGGAGCTTTTTCACGTAAGGGTAGCAGAAGAATGACGTGGTAGTGGAAACCGGAAATGTTTGACCTAAAGTGCAATCATGAGCATCACCTGGGAGTTTATTAGAGATGCAGAGGGGACCCTGGGTGGCACAGGTGGTTAAACCACTGGACTCTTGGTTTCAGCTCAGGCCCTGATCTGAGTCATGGAATTGAGCCCCGCCTCTGGCTCTGTGCTCGGCGGGGGGGGGGGGGGGGGCTTCATATTCTCTCACCTTCCCCCTCTACCCCTCCCACTCCTTCTCTCTCAAGTAGGTAAATAAATCTTAAAAAAGAAAATAGCAGACTGTCAGGTCCATCTCAGGACTACTGAAGCAGGTTTTGCATTTTTTTAAAAGTAGGCTCCATGCTGAGCCTGGCTGGAGCCCAACTAGGGGCCTGAACCTACGACCCTGCGATCAGGATCTGAGCTGAGATCAAGAAGGGAAAGTTTGACTGAGCTACCCAGGCGCCCCAGATTTCTGCAATTTTAACAAGATTCCCAGGTGGTGTTGAAATTTGAGAAGTGGTGCTCTAGGCGATATTCTCTAAATCAATCCTTCCTTCCTTCCTTCCTTCCTTCCTTCCTTCCTTCCTTCCTTCCTTCCTTCCTTCCTTCCTTCCTTTTTCTTTTTTTAAAAGACTTTATTTATTTGACAGAGCACAAGCAGGAGGTGCATCAGGCAGAGGGAGAAGCAGGCTCCCAGCTGAGCCAGGAGCCCAATACGGAACTCAACTCCAGGACCCTGGGATGATGACCTGAGCCAAAGGCAGATACTTAACCAACTGAGCCACCCAGGCACCCAATCCCCCCTCCTCTTCATGTCAAAATGTTAAGGGTGGCTTTTAGAAAAGTCTAATAAAATCTGACATGTACAGATCTTGTACTAAGCGACTTTGATTCTCAATGACGCTAGAAAAACATAATCACACGTTGCTGGTTATTGTATCTCATGTCCACACACTCACCCCTTTATACTCAACTTGATCATTCTAAAACTCTGCATACTATTTCTCCTTTATTCAGCTGGCTTCCTGTTAGGTGCCATCCACAGTGGGGACTAGAAGTGACTTGCTCCTTTCTGTTAGCATCATCCTAGCAGCGTTAATTCCTTTAGGTGGCAGTCGGTTTCACTCTTCATTGCTTTTTCAATAATCAGTCACCTTTATTGTGCACCTCAGGGGTACCAGTAACAGCAGCCAGGTAGGAACATCATCCTCAGATGTCTGATTCCTAGCTCCATGGGTCACCTCTACTGAGCTCTGCTCTGAATATAGCTTATTCTTTAGACTGCAATTCAGAGTCAAGTAAATATTTCACATGATTTTGGCATAAAAATAAATCTAAATTTTTAAAAACTCTCCCTAAAAAACAAAAGCAAAATGAAACAAATACACCTATACATCTACAAAGTTAATAGCTTTGTAATACAAAGAAAAAATATTTCACTGGACTTCAGAGCACCTTCACTTGACTATGTATCTCTGTGGAATATATCATATGAACAAAAAGAACTTCAAAAATTTGTAAGCTATTTTTTAAAAGATTTTATTTATTTATTCATGACACACACACACAGAGAGAGAGAGAGAGAGAGAGAGAGAGAGAGAGACAGGCAGAGGGGAAGCAGGCTGCACGCAGGGAGCCCGACTTGGGACTCGATCCCAGGTCTCCATGATCTCCCCCTGGGCTGAAGGTGGTGCTAAACCACTGTGCCACCAGGGCTGCCCTGTAAGCTATTTTTAATAAGTATAATAGCATAATAATATCATTACTATTATTCTGAAATCAAATAAGTAATTATTATAAAGGAACATGGAATTTTGAGAGGTGATGAAAATATTCTGTATCTTGATTGAGGTAATAGTTACAACTGTATGCATTTGTCAAAACTCATAGAACTCTACATGAAAAAGGATGAGTTTTCATCTAAATTCATATTCAACTTAAAAGCCAAATATGTAATCATAATGCCATTAGGAACTAAGAGATACAAATATAAAATGAAAAAGGTTTAAAATAGGGGTGCCTGGCTTGCTCAATTGGTAGAGTATGCCAGTCTTGATCTTGGTGTTGTGAGCTCAAGCCCCATATTGGGTGTAGAGCTTACTTAAAAAAAAAAAGCTTTAAAATAAAATTTGTAAATTTGAAACAGAAAAATTAGTATGAACTCATTGTATGCATGTGTATTTGTATGTTTTTTTCAAGCTTTGTCTCCTGAAAAGGTCTAGAAATAATGGCAAACCTAGTAGCAATGAGCGCTATTAAAGAACAATGACAATCAACAAAATTTAGAATATAAGAAAGTCTGTAAGACAAGCAATCAGTTTCATAAATACTTTGCAGAAGGGAGAGGAGAAGAGGAAAGAGAAGAAGAGAAAGGGAACAGATTGAAAGAGGTTAACAAGACATACCAACCAAATGCAAGTGTGGCTCTTGTTTGAATCCTGATTCAAACTGTTAAAAGATAATTGGGGAAATATGAACACATATTGGATATTTGGTGACATTAAAGAATAGTTGTCAAGAATTTTGGGGGTGTGATAAAGGTATTTCGGCTATATTAAAAAAAACAGACTTTGCCTTTTAGGGATACACACTAAAGCTTGTACAGATAAGAAGATAACAATGTCTGAGATCTGCTTCAACAAATCCAGTGGGGTAAGGGGTAGGGGCAGAAATTTGAGTGTCCTTATGAAATACTCTCTGGACTACTCTGATACCATACTTTCAGACTGTTCCTCCTAATTTTCTGTTCCTTGATTTCTTTGATGACTAATTTGCCTCTATGGAGTTTTCTTTTATTTTCTTTTCTTTTTTAAGGAATGTCTGATTTTTTATTTTTATTTTTAAAGATTCTATTTATTCATGAGACAGAGAGAGAGAGAGAGAGAGAGAGAGAGAGAGAGAGGCAGAGACACAGGCAGAGGGAGAAGCAGGCTCCATGCAGGGAGCCTGATGTGTGACTCGATCATGGGTCTCCAGGATCACGCCCTGGGCTGAAGGCAGGCGCTAAACCTCTGAGCCACCCGGGCTGCCCATCTCTATGGAGTTTTCAAATATTAAATATCAGTCACTCCTCACAACCCCAGTGCAGCTCTTTCTGCCCACAGGTCCTGTTCCTAGGCTTTAATAAAGCCACCTTCTTGTACCAAAGTTATCTCAAGATTCTTTCTTGACCGTGGACTCTGAACCCCACCACTTCAAAGCACATCACCATAACCAAAACAGTGAATTGCTAAATTACAGTACACTCAGCCATACACAATGACAACGTTGCCAAAAAATCTATGTCATGGAGACATTTAAACTCCATTGTTTAATGAAGGGAGGCAGATACAAAACAGCATGTACAATATGATTTAATTGCTTAAAAAAAGAAAATGTGACATATACACACAAGTAAAAATAATATACTAGAAAATAAAACGTAAAACCAAAATTTAATATAGTCTGGGGGGGGGAGACTTATGGGTGGGTTTTAAATCTAGCTATTTCTACATTTGGTGTAAGGATCATGTTTTCTAATGAAAATGTAGTACATATATATTTATACATTGGAGCGAAGGGGGCAAGAAAGAAGAGATTTACGAAATCCAAAATGCCAAATGCTCCTGGGGAGGAAAAATTAAGCCTCCACTGAGGTCATTGCCTTGTTGAAATCTGGGGACGCGAAGGTACTCGACTACACCCCTCTGATGCCAGGGAGCAAAATTCCACCAATTCTCCAGGCTGTAGCAACATCCGGGAAATCCCAAAAGAATACAGATCGATGCCTTTTTTTCCCAAAAGATCACGAGTGGTTTAAAAAAAAAAAAAAAGGCAGCCCAACTGGCAAACGCAGCAGCACCTGCCTGGCGGGTGATCTCCACTTGAAGAACGAGTCCGCAGTTTCTCGGACTACAGCCCCAGGTCAAAGCCTCTGCCCACATCGGAATCGCAGAGCTCAGGGCTGACGTTCCGCGACCCGCCACCTTCTCCCCGCCACAACGCCCCAACCTGGACTAGCATTTCCAGGACACGTCGGTGAAGATGCGGCGCCTGCGCGAAGCGCCTTCAGGGCCCTCCCGGCTGCGCTCCCCGCGAGGAGCCTTCGGGTGCTCTCAAGCTGCGGGAGCTGGGAAAGGCCCAGGTGTCGGTCAAAGCACCAGAGCACTTGAAAGCCTCAGGGGACCCGGTGTCTGCAGGAAGCCAGTCACTCACTCCCCTTTCATGCTGAGCTAGGATCTTCCCTATGGCTGCTCTGCTCCTTGAAGGGTTGTACCTTTGATATTTGGCGGGGAGGGGAGGGATGACAAAAGACATTAAGGATTAAGGCCTCCGTCCCTCCCCCAGCCTGATGGTAGCAGATTGCCAAATTATACTTAACGGAAGGCTCACTGTGCCCCTTTGCAGGATTTTTATGGGTTCAGCTGATTCAAAATAGTTGTCATCATTGTTGCAGGGGGTAGGTAACTAGGAAGTAACCCGTGCATCAGTTCCTAGAGGCTATGAACTCTTAGCTGCCTTGCAGTCTTTATGGAGGTGCACAAATGACATCTGTTGGGTTTCTTTAATATCTTATTATAGAGCTTTCTAAAAAAAAAAAAGTGTGTAACGGTTTTGATATCAGGGATAAAAGTGATTATCAGTCTGCACAGCAGCAGATGCAGTTTTGTTTTAAAATTCAGTTTATGAAATTAACGTGCAGGTGACAACAGTGGCTTTGACTTTGTTAGTCCAAGTTCAGCTAATTTGGATTTATGGGATAAATTTTACAATTTACAATATTTTAAAAAATTTTACTTAAGAATTGTTTTTACAGGAATGACTTTTACAAATAACAGTGGATGTGTGGCCAATGTTTCCTGCTCACACTTTTGTTTTCTAATAATCCTTTTAATTTTTAATCATAGTTTGGCTTGGGACTAATTGTTTATTTTCAGAATTTATCATTATTTCTTTGTAGATGATTCCAGTCCAAGGTATATATTAAATTAATACATTGACAGATTGTCATTGTGAAATAAATGTACATGCTATCATACTGGTCAATTTTATCTAAAAAGAATGTTTATATATCAAGTATGTGATCATTGGTAATAGTCTAAGAAAGCTGTTTCCTGTTCCTCTAACATTTAATTACAGTTTATTGCTTTTTTTTTTTAGATTTATTTATTTGAGAGAGAAAGGGAGGAGGAACAGATGGAAAGAGAGAGAGAATTCCAGGGAGACTCCTCACCTAGTACGGAGCCCCACTCAGGCCTGATCCCACCGTGAGTCCATGACCTGCGTCAAAAACAAGAATTGGACGCTTAACCAACAGAGCCACCCAGACACACCCCTCTTATGGTTTTTATTGTCTTACATTATACAGTGCAGACCGGACCTGCACTCTTTTGGCATCTTACACTTGCACCTATTTTTATTTATTATTTTTTAAGTATTTTGTTTATTCATTTGAGAGAGAGCATAAGTGCACGAGTCAGGGAAGGGGAAGAGAGAGAGGCAGTCTTCGAGCTGAGCGGAAGTCTAGACTTGGTTCCATTTCAGGATCCTGACATCATGACCTGAGCCAAAGTCAGATACTTAACCAACTGAGCCACCAAGGCACCCCTACTTTCATCCATTTTTAAAGGAATTTACTAATCATGAGGTTGGAAAGTCTGTATTTTTCTTTCTCACTATGCCTTAATAATCTAATGTCTAAATTTGACAGGGGTCTCAATAAAGAAAACTTATAAAGCCTCTTTATTGCATTGTTTCTATTTTACACTTAAGATTTATCTATTTGTACATAGTACTGTGTTCATTTATTTATTTATTGAGCGCAGTGGGGAGGGACAGAGGGAGAGGAGAGAGAGAATCTTAAGCAGGCTTCACACCCAGTGCAGAACTCAGCACAGGGCTCAATCTCACAACCCAGAGAGCATAACCTGAGCAGAAATCAAGAGTTGGTTGCTTAACTGACTGAGCTACCCATGTATCCTAGCATTGTGTTCTTTTATTAAAATAATGTACAAAGACTGAACAAGTTCTAGCATTTTGGTCCTGCTAAAATATGTGCATCATCTGGCCCCTTTGGTAGCTTCTGGGGGATGTTAGGTCCCATGCTCTGTAGGATATTTCATTCACATCTAGATGTGGCTAGAGGACTCAGACACTTTAGAATAGCTCGTCCATCTGGCTGTGTTGTGCCATCAACGGAAGGATTGGTATTTACGGGGCAACTGGGCAGTGGGGGTGGAATCTGAAGGGGCACAGAAGAGTCCCATCTGATATAGGCACTGTGCTATAAACACCATTCTAATTGCATTTGTGTGAAGCCGACTAATGAATGCATCCTGGACAAATCTGCCATGATGACTGCTGTGTGACTTGAAGCATTCTTGAGCCCAGGCCACCCCCCACCATTCTTTATTTTTGTCGAACTATATCCTTAGTATACCCTTGGGGCATAACACCCTTGATGTGCTCTGGAGATACAACTGTTCTCAAATATTTCCTCCCATGTGGTCCCCTAGCATATACTCCCAGCCTTCAGGACTATAAAACTTGGTCCTGGAAAAGATGGAGTTCTGGAGATATACTTATTTTGTGGTTGTCCAAGACACAATTCTGTCTTTAAGTCCCCCTAATAAACTGTTTCTTGTCCAGCTGGACTCACTGGCCTTTTCAGTTTTACAGCTTTGGTTTTTACAGAAAGGTGTTTAACCACCTTTATTTATACATAAAGTCTACTCACATTCGACTTTATTCCTTCTGAATTCCACATAGTATAGCATAATATGTGTTATATTGCACTTGCTGATTCACTTAGTAATGGGTACATAAAAGTTGCCTCCAACTTTTTACTAAGATAAATAATGCATTGTGTCCGCCCCACCCCCTTCCTCTAACCAAGTCTGATTCTTCAAGGAATACTCAACACATGGTACCAATTTGAGTGCTAGCATCTAGTAAATTCTTAATAATTACTTTGGGAACTGATTTATGGAGTGCCTCAAAAACCAGGTCATGTGTTTATTTGACTCTAGGCCAATTTGCTGAAAATAAATTTATAGAAAGTCATTTCCAGATGAAAAATTTGTCAAAATCCAATTTACCAAAACCAAATTCCCTGAATTACCAATCTGATGGACTGTTGAGGCCTATTAAAAAGTTTGAGCCTCTTGTGCCTCAACCTTATGTGAGGTGAGCCCAGGGACAGGGACAAGAGAAGTAGACTAAAATAGAGATGAATTGCAAGCTGTTTAAGAGAAACTTCACCTATTTGTGTATCAAATGGTTGGGGTAGATGCAAATCTAAAGCTTTGAAGAAAGTCTACTTGGCAATTTAGCTTTCAATTGCCAGTAACAGGCACAGAAAACGAAAGGAGACTGATTTAATTGCGTAACAAGCTGACAAGAGATAGGCAGGGGATGGTGTTGGATCAGCAGCTCAACGATGTGGGGACTGGCATCTCTGTGGTTCTTTTGGCCCGTCCTGCCCCTATAGTCAAAGGACCATGGCAACTCCCTTTAGTGTTTGTGGCAGAAAGGGAAAAAGTGGTGCATCTACTCCTTTAACCTACTCCCCTAGCCAAAGCTGTGTCTTGCGGCCCTCCCTAGCCACAAAAGAGGCTGTAGAGTGAGCATCAGCTTTTTCAGGTTTTAAATGGAAGCAGGGAAGGGGGACGAGGTTGAGAGCAGATGGCAAGTTGGACCTGCAACATTTATCTCCCTCAAGTATCATTAATTTCTCTTTCAAAATGGGTAGCTTCTATGTCAAGAGCGTTCTATCAACAATTTTAAAGATTATACTTAAAGGGTGCCTGGGTGACTCGGTTATGCATTTGACTTTGACTGGGTCATGATCCCAGGGTTCTGGGGAAAAAAAAGATCAAGTAATTTTACTTTAGCCCCATTCCGGAATGTTGGGGTGGGGGAAGAAAAGTAGAGCTGAAATGTATTTTTTAAATATTTATTCATGAGAGACACAGAGAGAGACAGAGGCAGAAACATAGGCAGAGAGAGAAGCAGGCTCCATGCAGGGAGCCCGATGTGGGACTCAACCCTGGGACCCCAGGATCACGCTCTGGGAAGAAGGCAGGTGCTCAACCACTGAGCCACCCACGCGTCCCTGAAATGTATCTGTTAAATATAAGTCATAAGTAAAAGGAGAACTGTTTTAAGTATAATCTTTTTTAAAAAGATTTTATTTATTTATTAGAGACAGAGCATAAGCAGGGAGAATAGCAGAGAGAGAGGGAGAAAGCCAAGAGGACTGTCCACTGAACAGGGAGCCTGACTCGGGGCTCGATCCCAGGACCCTGAGGTCATGACCTGAGCCAAAGTCAGAAGCTTAACTGATTGAACCAGCTAGGTGCCCCAAATTACTTCATCTTTCAAGGAAGAGTAGGGGGAAAAATCAAGGGGCCAACAGTGACAAATATTTTCAATTACTCCTCTGGCCAGTCACTGTCCTTCCACACCAAAGAACATCTGGAAAACATCTGCACATCCTTTGGCGTTTAAAAACTGATACAGCTGACCAAAGTCCATGTGGTTTCCTCTGGCTCCATTAACACTGAACACTTTTTCTTCAAAACTTGAAAATCTTCTTTGTCTTTCTATTTTGTCATTTGTAGCATCAAAAGGAATGTCTTCTCGATGGCGAATTAAAATTCTCTTCCAGTTTAACTTTCTGAGTCTAAAAGGAAATTTTCAAAGTAGAAATGTTGAAAATGTGTTTTGTTTTCTAGAACATTGAAAACAGAAGTTATAAAGCACTTATCAATGCCTTTTCCTAGAGGTAAAGATACCTACTTTTATCTCACAGGGATTTATTTTAATCAAATATGATGCTGGTCATGATCCTATCTCCCAAACTCATTTATTACTACTGCCTCATACCAACATTTTAGAAATGTGGAAATTGCTATATCTCAAACTCCCAAAGGGACTTCTTAGAAACTCATTTAGGATATCAGAACAGAAATGAGATTAGAAATCCCTTTGTTTCACAGGGTATGCACAGTTTATCTCATCACTAAGAAGTATAAGATCCATGAAAATGGAGATCATCACATATTGGACAGGAGCTCAATTCAACAGCTATTTACAGAATATCTTCTATGCACTGTATCAGGGAAGGGGGTGATGCTGACTGTATGTGAGTTCTGTTTTCTCCATTGACTTAAGACTGAATCCCATAAGGTACAACCCCAGGGACATACTAATTTACACATATCTAATATCTTGTTTACTACTAAAATTACCGATACAGCATATAACATTTATGAAAGCAAACCTTGACCAGAATTCTTCACAGGCGCTTTGTGGGCCTTCCACACAAACAACACCAGGTTTCCCAGGCATGCTAAAACCAGATAGGGAAAGCTCTTTTGCCCACTCTAAAATATTCTTTCTTTTGCACTTATTGTAGATGTGATGGCTATAGATCCACAGTCTTGTGAGAACGAGATCAACTGGCTGGAATGTACTTCCTGGAGCAGGAGGTATGGTGTCTCTGCTGATATAGCCAGAAGCATGTTCTTTAACCCACTCTGTGGCATTTAATATACAGACATCTCCGAGACAATTCTTTTGCAGGTATGCAGACAGATCTGTGTTGAGCTGAGTCTGCTGGGATCTACTTAGCGATACTGATCTGATGGAAAAGATCAAGAATATAAAAACAATCAATTTTCTTGGAACGGAAAACAAACTTAAGCACTGTTTTAATTCTCAAATTAAATTTAACCTCTGATGTTGGCCAATTTCTGTTACGCTGTCACATACCTGACAGTGATTTCAGGCAGAACTTCAGGATATTTAAAGGGAAGGATACAGGCCAGAGAAAACATCACCTGATGAAAAAAAGAAGAAAATGCCCTAAGTGGTGTTTTAAGTCTTAATAGGTTTCAGTTCTTCAAAAAGCAAAGTGAATTACCATTGCTTCCTCAGATACATCCAGGTTCATATTGATAGTAAAGTAAACTTTTGAAGATCGTCCCTCCATCGTCCTTTTTTCAATACAGTCTTTCAGCTCTGCTAAAGCCAGCTGGTCATTCACTATGAGCTCATTCTCACCGGGGAACATACTGGCTAGCAGGTCTAACTCAGAGAGCTGGGCCTCAGCCTGTTCAATCTCAATCATTTTTGGATATCTGTAAATTTCTAAGGAGGTAAGGATAAGAGAGATAATTTGTAAATACAATCTTGGGAGAACTCAATGTATCAAAATAGGTACTTACTGAAAGTGTGTGATTTCTTTGTAACACGTGAAATTTAAACAGATGTAATACACTAAGGACACAAACTACAGATCCAGTGAATGCCATAAAACTCTAATAATAACCAGGCATCAGATTCCTCTGTATCTGGATAGTTGACCAGGAAGCTTGAGCTACCACAATGAACAGTTTCATTGAAGTAAACTAATTATGTAGTCAAAAAAGCCATTATCAATGAATGATATTATAGCCAGGAGAGAGGCTATGGCTGGTTACTTTGGAAACCTAGAATGTACAGAAAAAGTAAGAGAATTAGTTTTGTGGATGGTTAATATTTTTCTCTTAATATTAGTGTTTATTAGTTTTTCAAAAGCAGAAGAATGTGAAGAAGAGAAAATATGCTAACAATCCCACACCTCAAGTAACACCTGTTAATACTCGCTGTTAGTGCATAGTGATTTATCTCATTCTTTCTACAGACAGAATTTCTAATGGCTGTCATACTGAATCTTGCCCATGTGTTGTAATTTATTGCATTCTTTGACTATTGATGGGCACTTGAGTTGCTTCCACACCTTTGCTGTTATGAACATTTCTTTAATGGAAGTTCTTTTTATATATACAGTTTGGAACACTGTTAATACCATATTCTCAAGGATAACTTTGTAGAGGCAGCTTATTGGGTCAATAGGTACAACATTTTAGATTTTGGTAGATATTGCCAGGTTGCCTTCCAAAAGTTGCTATACTGAAGTTTAGTTTTTACATAGTCCCCTTACAACCTTATATTTTTTATTTATTTATTTTTGAGATTTTATTTGAGAGAGAGAGAGAGAGAGAGAGAGAGAGAGAATAAGAGAATGCACATGAGCAGGGAGTGGGGCAGAGGGAGAGGCAGAAGCAGACTCCCTGCTGAGCAGGAAGCCCAATATGGGGCTTGATTCCAGGCCCCTGAGACCATGAGCTAGGCAGATGCTCAACCGACTGAGCCACACAGGTGCCCCCCAACTCCTTTTAAAAAATTCTTAATACGTATCTTTCTTTGACTTATTTCACTTAGCATAATACCCTCTACTTCCATCCATGTCGTTGCACATGGTAAGATTTCAATTTTTGATGGCTGAATAATATTCTACTGTGTGTCTGTATCTATTTATACCTATACCTATACCTGTACCTATACCTATACTTATACCTATCCCTATCCCTATACCTATATCTATCTATATACATTTTCTTTATCCATTCACCAGTTGATGGACATCCTTGCTCTTTCCATAGTTTGGCTATTGTGGACATTGCTGCTATAAACATTGGGGTGCAGGTGCCCCTTCAGATCACTACATTTTTATCCTTGGGGTAAATCCCTAGTAGTGCAATTGCTGGGTCATAGGGTAGCTCTATTTTCAACTTGAGGAAACTTCATACTGTTTTCCACAGTGGCTGCACCAGTTTGCATTCCCACCAACAGTGTAAGAGGGTCCCTTTTCTCTGCATCCTCACCAACATCTGTCGCTTCCTAAGTGATTAATTTTAGCCATTCCAATCAGAGTGAGGTGGTATCTCCCTGTGGTTTTGATTTGTATTTCCCTGATGCCGAGTGCTGTTGAACACTTTTTCATGTGTCTGTTGGCTATTTGTATGTCTTCTTTGGAGAAATGTCTGTTCAAATCTTCTGCCTATCTCTTGATTGGATTATTTGTTCTCTGGGTGTTAAGTTTGATAAGTTCTTAATAGATTTTGAATACTAGCCCTTTACCTGGTAAGACATTTGCAAATATCTTCTCCCACTCTGTTGGTTGTCTTTTGGTTTTGTCAACTGTTTCCTTTGCTGTGCAAAAGCTTTTATCTTGATGGAATCCTGATAGTTCATTTTTGCCTTTGTTTCCCTTGCCTTTGGAGATGTGTCTAGCAAGAAGTTGCTGTGACCAAGGTCACAGAGGTTGCTGCCTGTTTTCTCCTCTAAGATTTTAATGGATTCTTGTCTCACATTTAGGTCTTTCATCCATTTTGAGTCTATTTTTGTGTATGGTGTAAGGAAATAGTCCAGGTTCATTCTTGTACATGTGGCAGATTTTTTTCTTAGCTAAATTAATTTCATTTGCAAGAAAAAGTATGAGGACTTCTGATAAAACATGAAGCCTGAGCACTTGTATAATATTTCCCCTTCTCTGTGACCCCATTAAAATGAGAATAAAAGGATAAATTCTCAAAGAGAATGGGAAAGGAAATTACAAAAGGTATTAACAAAATTTTGGAAGGTGAAAAGGGATAAATGAATTATAACCAATTCAGATTTCAGCTTTCTTCTCTCTATTAACTGCTTGGTCAGGTGGGCAGAGGAGGGGCAGAACTTCAGGAAGGCTCAGGAACCAGCACTAGGTACCCTAGAAAGCATCAGTGTAATGTGCAGTAAAAAGTATGAATTTATTTATTAATTTTAAAGATTTTATTTATTAATTCATGAGAGACACAGAAAGAGAGGCAGAGCCATAGACAGAGGGAGGAGAAGCAGGCTCCATGCAAGGAGCCCCATGCAAGACTCGATCCCGGGAACCTAGGATTGTGCCCTGAGCCAAAAGCAGATGCTCAACCACTCCACCCAGGCGTCCTGAAAATATGAATTTATTGGAAGTCTAGATTCTAGACTTAACTAGACTCAAGTTTAGGATTTCTCAACCTTGATACTATTGATATTTCAGACCAGAATACTCTGTGTGTGTGTGTGTGCGCACGCACACAATCTCTGCCTTTTAATTATTATATTTAGACAACTTATATTTAATACAATTATTAGCATGTTAGACTTAAGTCACCTATTTTTTTAAAATATTTTATTTAATTTATTCATGAGAGACACAGAGTGAGAGAGAGAGGCAGAGACATAGGCAGAGGGAGAAGCAGGCTCCATGCAGGGAGCCCAATGTGGGACTCGATCCCGGGTCGCCAGAATCAGGCCCTGGGCTGCAGGCAGCACTAAACTGCTGTGCCACGGGGGCTGCCCAAGTCACCTATTTTATTTTCAGTTTGTTTTCTATATTTTCCATTTCTTTTTTATTTTCCCTGCCTTTTTTTAGGTTGAAAATGTTTTGGAATTCCATTTTGGTTAATTTATAATGTTTTTGCATACATTTCTTTTTTAAATTTAGCTTATTTTTTTAAAAGATTTTGTGGGATCCCTAGGTGGCTCAGCGGTTTAGTGCCTGCCTTTGGCCCAGGGCATGATCCTGAAGTCTCATGTTGGGCTCCCTGCATGGAGCCGGCTTCTCCCTCTGTCTGTGTCTCTGCCTCTCTGTGTCTATCATGAATAAATAAAATCTTTAAAAAAAGATTTTGTATATTTATTTGAGAGAGAGAGAGAGAGTACAAGCAGGGGGAGCAGGAGAGGGAGAAGCAGACTGCCCTTTGAGCTGGGAGCCGGACACGGGGCTTGATCCCAGGATCCCGAGATCATAAATTGAGCTGAAGGCAGACATTTACCAACTAAGCCACCTACGCACCCCCATATTTCTTTTTATAATTTACAGCTCTTTTAGTGGTTACTCTACATATATGTATATAAAACATCACAGTCTATACCAGTCTCTTAACAGTTTGACATATAGAAACTTTATGTACATTTACCTTTTCCCAATTGTAATATAGTGATCTTAAAATTTTTCTATATACATTTAGAAACATAAGAGTGTTCTAATTTTTGCTTCAGCCACCAAATATGATTTAGAAAACAGAAATACATTTTATTTGCCCGCACTTTTGCTTTTTCAATATTTTTTCCATCATAATTCCTTTATTGTTTCTCTTCCATTTAGAGAATTTCCTTGAGCCATTTTTAAGGGTGGGTCTGCTGCTGACAAATTCTCTTAGTTTTCCTTGATGTTAGAATGCCTTGATTTCCCCTTCTTTCTGGAGGATATTTTCACTGGATGTGATATTCTAGATTGACAATTCCTTATTTTCACCACTTAAAAAATATCATGCCTCTTCATTTGGGGCCCATATCTTCTGATGAAAATACTTTCTGTTTATGCCTTTTGACAAATTTGGGAAATTTTCCACCATCATTTCCTCAAGTACTTTTCAGCTCTGTCCTCTTCCTTCTCTCTTCTTCTGGAGTGACATGTTAGATATTTTGTTATAGTCTCACATGTTCTAGAGCTCTGTTCATTTATTTTTGGCCTATTTCTCTTAGTTGTTCAGATCAGATAATTTCTATTGCTGTATCTCCCTTTCCTCTGTTTCCTTCCTTCTGTCGTTGACTCCATCCACCATGTTTTCAATTTGGGTTATTGCATTTTTCAGTTCTATCATTTCCATTTGGTTCTTCTTTATATCTTCTATTTCTTTACTTCTATTTCTTTTTTTTATTTACCTGAAGTGTGTTTATAATCATTCACTGAAAAATTTTTATTATAGGTATTTTTTAAAGTTTTATTTATTTAAGTAATCTCTACACTCAACATGAGGCTTGATCTCATGACTCTGAAATTAAGAATAGCACGCTCCTCTGACTGAGCCAGTCAGGCATCCTATGATAGGTGTTTTAAAATCTTTGTTAGGGGCACCTGGCTGGCTCAGTTAGAAGAGCATGTGACTCCTGATCTTGGGGTTGTGAGTTCAAACCCCATGTTGCATATAGTGATTACTTAAAAATAAAATAAAATAATAATAGAGTAAAATCTTTGTCAGATAATTCAACCATCTCTGTCATTCAGAGATTGGCATCTGTTTGTTGTCTCTTTCATTTAGTTTGAGATTTTCCTTCTTTTTTGTATGATGAATGGTTTTCTTATTGAAAACTGGACATTTAGGTATTACAAGACTCTGAATATTACTCAAATCTTCCATTTTAGGATACAATTTCAGATACTGCTTCAGAAAGGAACAAAGGAAGGGACTTATGCCTGGGAGGACTTAGTCCTAGGTCCCTAATCAGATTTTGTTGGTACCATCCTGAGAAGGAGTGAACATTTAAGTACTTATTACAGCTCAGTGAAGGTGGAATCTAGGCTCCCTTTGCTTGTGTGGTGGGGGAGAGGCCACAGTATTTTCTGTGGTATTTTGACTTGTGTACAGCATTTATTATATAAATGTTTTCCATCTTGTTCAGCTGTACATTTCTTGGTACTTTAGCAGAGAGAGCAGAGTATTTTGGAGCTTTACACTTTTTTGGGGGGGTCTGTATCCTTGGTATTTCTAGGTTGCTGCTTTTTAAATCAAGTCTCAGATATTTGAGGCAAAAAAAGAATACCCAAGGAAGTCACCACGGTGTCCTTCCTTGGGTCCCAAGGTCCCTAGTTGGTCTGCCTTCCCTTTAACTCTTGAGTCTCTTCTGTTTGCTTTGTAAATAGTGTCCAGTATCCTCAGTTGTACTTAGCAGGACAAATTGGATAAAAATATATCTACTCTGTTGTTCCAAAAGTGGAAGTACCCCCTACACAATATTTTCAACTTACCAATTGGTATGTGTGCGCACACACACACACCACACACAAAGATGTCTAATGTCTAGTAATTGTCATAGATGAAAAAGTTGCTATAAGGAAAGCTTATATAAGGATTCCAATTTTATGAAGGAAAAAAATCAGACAGTATAAAAAAGATGTGTTTATAAGGATGCTCGTTGGTTATTATTTATAATAAAAAAATGAGACATGACCTAAATGTCCAACAATGGATTAGTTAAATAAATATATATTTAAACCATAGAATGAGATCATTAAAAAAATGTATTTTAACACTGATATTCATGTATACAGTTACTTAAAAAAGTAGATTGTAGAAGAATATAAATAGTTATGATCGTATTATTGTTATATCATTATGCATACATGAAAAAAGTCAGAAAGAATTCACCAAAGTAGTTTGCTAAATGTGGGTAGAAGGAAGAAGGGGAAGACTAATATATATACTTCTATATTATTTGAGGCTTTAGTTTTGGTATGTGGTGTTCTTAATCCAGAAAAAAAGGGTTACACATCTGAAAAGAAAAACAGAGCTCAGTTCCATTGCTACAAAGGAAACATGGCTTACCTTCTCAAAGAGAATTTATTCTGTGAAATCAAACACCCATTATCTTGGTTAATGGTGTCTTCATGGAATTCTTTCTCATCTTTGGTAAATATCCGTTGAGTAACTACTCTATGTAGAGCTTCATACTTCATTCATTCCCGGAGCTTTCTATTTAGTTTGAGGATCAGGACATATTATCTAATAAGATACAGAACAATGAAGATAAAAAGGCTAAGTGTTAAGTGGCTAAAGGCTAAGTGAAGTGCCTATTAGGACACCTCCTCAGGAGAGATGTTCAGCAGACAGTCGGATGGAAAGTCACGCAGGTTACGAGGTAGCCGGCTGGAGACGTAATCTTGGGAGTAACCGTCATATATTTAAAGGCGCGTTTGTTTTGTCGCTGACCGAGTGAGTGAAATTGGGAGAAAGTCCCACTGACTTCAGAAGTCTGGAGGATGAAATGGAGGCAGCAAAGAAGTTTGGGGCCAAACGACCCGAGTGCGGACGACTATGGGAGTGATGTTACAGGGGTATCATGGACGTGTTAAATGATTTTCGTAGATAAGTTTTGAATGCAAAAAAAAAAAAAAAAAAAAAAAAAAAACAACCTCGAGGAGAATTTTCTGACTCAGGATCTCAGTGAACGCTGTACGAACGTATAATGAAAACTGGGTTTCCTAGCGGGAATCATTCTTTCTCCTTGCAGATTTTTACTTCACAGGGCAGAGCGGGTCCAGGGTGCAGTCCCAGACGCGAGGCTAGCCGCGGGAGCCCGTGCCGGCAGGCGCCTGGTGCGCAGGCGCCGTCGCCCCTGACAACTGAGCGGGCCGGGGGGGGGGGCGTGGGAAGAGAGGGGCCCGGCTGTGGGCGGGGCCAGGAGCTGCCGAAGCCGGTTCTAACCAATGAGCAGTGCGTAGCGCGCGGGAAGGCGGGGCCACGGCGTCCCCGGGTCCCCCGCGGGGCAACGGGCCGCTGGAAACCCTCGGCTCGGCTGGCAGCGGTAGGCCGAAGACTCACCTGGAGCCGCGGACTCCCTCGGTGCTGGAACCCTGGATCTTCTGGCTGCACGGGCAGCTCAGGTCCCTTCCAGAGGGAGCCTCAGGGTTTAAGGGCTGGGCAATCCGAAGCCTACAAACCACTCCAGCGCGGCGGCCTAGGGGAAGTCGCGCAGCGCCCTCCCGGCTGGGCGCATGCGCGTGGGCGCACGCCCCGGAAGCCCTTGGGCGCTGGCTGGTGGCAGGTGCTCCGCCGCTGGTCTTAGCTCCGCTACGTTCTTCCGAGTCGCGGGGTTCAAATTCCACCCTGCTGGCATTTCCCAGCCGCTGCCCCTGGCACTGTTTTCTGGGTCAAGGAATGGTCCGTTAAAGCAACGCTCCTCAAATTCAAACATGCGTAGAAATCGTTCGGTTTGATGTAGCTTGGGTGTCGAGAGGTGGGGGTGGGGTTCCCTTTTCTGCGTTCCTAATATCTTCCCACACAACAGAGATGCTTCTGGTCCCTCAACAGCAAGGCATTAGGGAGAGGGGAGCCTGGATGCTGGTCGTGGCGACTGACTGGAGGAAATACCGTGTGCATGCATGGAAATTAGTCTCTGCTAGTAAGAGGACAGTTTGAAGGCGACTCCACCAGCAGAGTAATTTAGATTTTCCTTCACAATCCAAATATAGGTGATGCACACTTTTCCCTTATGGTGTTACATCTTCATTTTAGAAATCTCAGGGTTTTTTTTTTTTTTTTTGTGAACATGTTCATTCTTACAAGGTATCATTAATAACTTGGAAATAAGATTAGTACATACGCTTTCGTAGCTGTATCTTTGACTCGGTGCTTTGTGGGTATTTTTCAGTATTATTGATCTATTTTCCCTCCAACTTTTATGAGAAATTTAAAGCATACTGTAAAGTTGAGAGAATTTTACAGTGAAGCAGTGGAGCAACTCTCAAGGGAGGAAAAAAGGAAGGGGATGATTTTGCTACTGCAGGGACATTTGGTAAAGTCTTGAAGACATTTTGAGTTGTCACAACGAGAGGGGTGCTTTCTGGCATCTAGTGGTTAGAGGCCAGGGGTGCCTCTCAACTCCTTGCAAAGCTGAAGACATCCCCCTACAACAAAGAATTTGCTGGTTTAAACTGTCCGTAGTGCTGACGTTAAGAAACTGACGCTACCGTAATTCTAGACACTTTTTAAATTTTTTTAAATTTTTATTTATTTATGATAGTCACAGAGAGAGAGAGAGAGGCGCAGAGATATAGGCAGAGGGAGAAGCAGGCTCCATGCACCGGGAGCCCGACGTGGGATTCGATCCCGGATCTCCAGGATCGCGCCCCGGGCCAAAGGCAGGCGCCAAACCGCTGCGCCAAACCGCTGCGCCACCCAGGGATCCCAATTCTAGACACTTTTTAAACATTTTATTCAACCATATCTATCAATCCATCTGTTTTGATGCATTTCAAAGTAAATCGCAGACATTGTTGTACTTCAGTTGCATAACATTAAGATTCAAATGTTGGGTTTTTTATTTTGAGGTAAAAATGAACTGCGTATTTTAAGTATATATATCTGCTGAGTTTTGACAAATGCATTCACCTGTGTAACTCAAACCCTGTTAAGGTATAGAACATTACTAGTACCTAAAAAGTTCCTTCCATGCTTCTTCCCAGTCTGCACCGGAACTCCCAAGAGTTTCGTCCTATCTCTGACGACCAATTGTCCTTTTATTGTGAATTACCTGTTTGTATTCCTTGCCTATGTTTCTTTTGGGGCTTGCATCTCCCCCCACCCCAAGCAATTATTGTGTCTTCTGTAAGATTAACCACTGATCTGATTTTTTTCCTGTTATAATTAGGTTTGCCTGTTCATATGCATGGGATTACATAGTAGGTACTTTCGTATATCTACTTTCAGTATAATAGTTTAAAGATTCCTCCATGTTCTTGTGTCTTACAGTTTCTTTTTATTGCTTAGAATTCCATTATATGACTATACCACAGTTTTCTTATTCTTTTGTTCAAAACGTGGGCTGTTTCCAATTTCTGGTTATTATGAGTAAGGCTACTATGAACATTCTTGCAAAATTTTTCATTTCTATGACTCTTAAGTACTTACTAAGCACATAAATGTTCCATTCCAGACACTTCTGGGTACTAGAGAGAGCCACAAACAAGACAAAGATGTCCCATCTCTCAAAGAGTTTATATTTGCACGTTTCTGGGCATGTATGGAGGTGTGTGTAGGGAGAGAAATATATACTTAAAAATGAAAGAAAAATACTAGTGATTATTACTGGGTAGCGACATAAAATAAAGTGAGGTGAGTGATCAGATGGCTACATAACCTAGATTGCCCAGCCAATTTCTGTGTGAGAAAGTGACTTTTAGGGCAGCCTCGGTGGCTCAGCGGTTTAGCGCCGCTTTCAGCCCAGGGTGTAATAATCCTGGAGACCCGGGATCGAGTCCCAAGTCGGGCTCCCTGCATGGAGCCTGCTTCTCCCTCTGCCTGTGTCTCTGCATCTTTGTGTGTGTCTCTCATGAATAAATAGGTCTTTTTTTTTTTAAAGTAACTTTAAATGTGTGAACAGAATTAAAATAGCAACCACAGAAGATCATGGGGAGCAGCATTCTAGGCAGAGGAAGCAAGAGGAAGCAAGCAATGTCCCTAAGGCTGCATTTTAGAATAGAAGAAGAAAAAGAAATGCCTGTGTGCTGAGTGAAGAAAACTTGAAAAAAAAGTCTTATCAGCAGTAAAAAAGCACGAGAGTCAAATGTAACCCTTGTGACTCTAGCCAAATTGATTAGGTGAGGATGCCACTTTCTTAATCTACCTTTATCGGATTACTAATAAGGATGAACATTTCGTCCTATCTCTTAACGACCAATTGTCCTTTTACTGTGAATTACCTGTTCTCTCCCTTGCCTATTTTCGGTTAGCGCTTGCATCTCCCCCCCCCCCCCTCCCGCGATGATCGTGTCTTCCGTAGAAGATTAACGCCCCAGAGCAGCGAGCCTGTGTTTATTCAATTCACTTCACATGGGCCTCGGCACTTAACATATTTTGAACGGACACACAGTAAATGGAAATTTCACCTTCAGTCGGCAAGACGATTTATGTTCCCAACCCCAGAAGTCGATCGGACACAATGAGGGCAACTGCGTGAAATGTAAACGTTATTTACATACGTTCACGTTCAGATGTGATGTAAGGTCACCCATCTAGGAGGTTCCAGGTCTCTGACCACCACCAGGTACCCGGACTTCCGAAGCATTTCAATAATCCCATGATTCCATCAGAGGCAGGGATTCTGCGCAGCCCTGGTAGCTCAGCGGTTTAGCGCCGCCTGCAGCCCAGGGCGTGATCCTGGAGACCCGGGATCGAGTCCCACGTCGGGCTCCCTGCGTGGAGCCTGCTCCTCCCTCTGCCTGTGTCTCTGCCTCTCTCTGTGTGTCTCTATGAATAAATAAATAAAAATCTTTAAAAAAGAGAGAGGGAGGGATACCGACCGCCCCCCAGGCTCCTCCAGGCAGCGGCGTCTGAACTTCCGGAGGGGACCGCGCGCAGGCGCCAATGACATAGCGTCAGCGCCGCAGGCCCCGGGGGCGGGGCTTAGCCACCTCCCATAATGCCGCGTACCGGAAGTTGTTGCTTTCTGGGGGTCAATCTGGCTTCTGCTCTGTCGCGCTCTCTCCGTCATCGGGAGGAAGACGGAGCTGGCTGCCCAGCCCGCAGGCCCGTTAGGGGGTGCAGCTATGGGCGCTGTCGCCGTGGGTGAGTTCTGTTCCCACTGCCTCGCAGTCAGCGCTAGCACGATTTCCTGCGTTTCGAGAACCCGAATCTCCTGCCTTTAACCTCGTTCTCCTCCCGAAGGCTCCTCTCCCCAAAGCACGTTACCCGGCCTCGGCCCGGTACCGCGTTCTCATTGGCTTCATGTCCTGTCTGTTCCAGGAGCTGGCCAATGAGTTGTCGGTGCTGGCGCCCTGTTCGACCCCGGACCCCCAGGTTCCCCCCGTGGGTGCGGAGCAGTTGGACGGGAAGGGGAGGTGTGGCAGGCTGCGCGCGGCCCGGAGCGCCCCGACACGTTGGGGTTGGCTTCCATGTGGGGGTTAGTAGGAGAAGCCGGGTCTGTCATCTCTCCGGTTCAGGGGACTAGGGTAGGTCACGGCTACGCCAAACTTGAAAGCCGCACTTCAGACCTGCCGACAAAACTTTTCCGAACGCTCTTCCGTGGTTTTTTTTTTTTTTTTTTTTTTGAATGGGTTTGGAGCTGGCATGAGAAGGCTGGGAAGGGACGAGAACGGATTAGTAACGCGAGCCGGCAAGACCAGCTTCGATTTAAATTTTGTGTGGAGTCCTGCAAAGAGTCACTTGGCCGAGAGGCTGACTCTCGTCTGTCGACTCACCTGAAAAACTTGACAGATTTATTGATGATGATTTATAGCTGGTGGTGCTTGCCAGTCTCTTTTCTCGACTCCTTTGATGCCCTTTGTAGCCGCGAACGATGTATTGCAGCGCTTTCCGCAGCTTCGAAGCGAGCCCCTGCCGTCCTCTCCCTGGAGTAGTTACAATTAGTCTTTCAAGTTTTTCTTTGGAGGCCGGGCTGCTGCAGTCCTCAGACCAGATTTGCTAGTGGGGACGAATTCACTCGTTACCTTTTTGTTTTTCACCGGAACCTGTTTGCTTCATTCTTAGGGTATACCTACCTTTGTACCTTATAATCGGTTTTTTGTTTTGTTTTTTTTTTTTTTTAATGTCTCAGGTACTATGATGCTCTTTCTTTCTGTTTCAATGCAAGAAGTATTTCTTGAGAAGTATTTCTGTATGTACCGACGCTATGTTAGATGCTTTTTGGCGATTCAGAAGTGATGCTTGAAACCGCCTCTTTCTCCTAAAACTTTAGATTCCAGATAGAGAAATAACAGGTGTCCAGATCAAAAATTTAAGATGTAGCCCATCGGATTAGGGAACAAAGTGAATAGTGCACATTTATAAAGGTTGGGGAAGTTCAGTTGAGAGGTTTATTTAAAATAGAACGGTTGCCTGAGGCTTCATTGAAATGGACATTTTGGAGAATTGGTAAGATTTGGATAGATGGAGGCAACCTTCCCAGCTAGAGATCACAGGCTTAAAGGTGTTCTTGGAGAGACTGGCTTGATGAGGATGCAAAGAGTGGTGGTCTTGGAACCGAAAGAGCTGTTTTTTTTTTTTTTTTTAATTTATTTATGATAGTCCCAGAGAGAGAGAGAGAGGCAGAGACACAGGCAGAGGGAGAAGCAGGCTCCATCCAGGGAGCCCGACGTGGGATTCGATTCCGGGTCTCCAGGATCGCGCCCTGGGCCAAAGGCAGGCGCCAAACCGCTGCGCCGCCCAGGGATCCCAAGAGCTGGGTTTTAATTCCATCTCTGCCGCCCTGTGGTCTTCCATCACTTTTGTTTTTGAGTTTTGTTTTTTTTTCCTTTAGCAAAATTCTCCATTTAAAGGGTTATTGTGAAAATCAAGTAAGATAATGCTTATGAAATGGCTTTGAAGATCAAAAGCAAGTGTATAATTAGAATGGAACTTTAGTGGTTCTTTGCTGGGAAGTAATGAGAATCAGGATTACCAGAGCATTGAGGACACTTTGTAAAGGACCGTGAGTGCATAGCTCAGGAGCATGGATATGATGAGAATGGCATTATTAGAAGGAATATCTAGTACTGGAATGCAGCACAGATTAGAGGTAGTTGGATTGGACGCAAGAACTTGGGTACTATTTTTTTTCCCCTTAAAATCTGTAATTCTAGAGAAGATAAATTACGTAACATGTTATTTTAGGGTGACAGAATTTACTTAAAATATACCCTAGTTTTATATATACCCATATCCTTTGTGTTATTTTGTTGTTAGTTAACTCATTTATTTTGTTAACTTGGAGCCTTGTTACATTTTAGATGATCCTTGGAAAGTTTAACAGTTGCTTAATGTGGTACTCCTTTTTCGTATAAATCTTTTTGAATTAACTTCACTTACACTAACCAATTAAGAGCTAAAAGAGGGATAATTCTAAAACCTTAGCCAGGACGGGATGACAGCTGAGTATCAGAATTAATTGGGAAAGGTTTTCAAAACCTGTCTCCCAGGTCCTACTTTCCACTTAGGTAATCAGAATTTTAATAAGCATCCCAGGTAAAGTAACTATTACAGTCATTTAGGTGATGTTGACACTGAGCTTTTGATGTGAAGTACAAGCTTTCCAAATCATTATTTAAAGTTAGGTAGATCTATATACTTTCAACAGTTTTCATGTTTTCTAATTTTGAATTGTTGACTAAGGAGGAGAAGATTTGTTGTGCAGCTAGGTTTGTCATAGTCTTCCAAAAAGATTTTGGCAGTAATATAATAGTGTAAACAGTTGAGAATGCACTTGTAATAAATTCTCAGTAAGCTAATAACCCACAAGGAATACTGGTATGGAAAATGTGGAACAGTGGATCACTTTTTATATTTAGCTTCAAAATTTGTAAATTTTCTAACTCCATTTAGTAGATTATCTTCAGAATTTTTTGAAATTTTTCTTGGAGAAATTATCAATTTAATTTGCATAGACTGCAGAGCTAAGCAAGATAGCTTAGAAGGAAGGGACATTATCCTGTTTCAAAATGCCACCACCACTCCACATTTATGTAGTGAGAAGTTGAATTCCTAATAGTATAATGTGCTGAGACTTTTTAAGATCTGTTTAAGAAGAAAACGTGCTTTCCTAACTTTTACATTCATTGCAAAACTACTGAGAATCAGTTTTCTAAGATATGAAAAGCGAGGGGTAGGTAATCTATCTACTTCAGCGTTCTTACTGAAAACTGGATGAAAAATGTGAATAGTCTTTGTAAATTATAAAGTGTGATAGACATGTAAAATATGTGGCTTAGTTACTATTTCCTAGAGAAGTATAAAACATACTTTTTTTTTTTTTGTCAAGCTAACTTTATCTTGTTTTCTAGATTGTTATTTTGTGTCAGTAAGTAATCCATAAAGTGCCAACATGGGAAAGAAACGGACAAAGGGAAAAACTGTTCCAATTGATGATTCTTCTGAATCTTTAGGTATATTTCACCAATTGAATCTTTAAAGCTTTGTTTATATCCCTAAATGGACATATATTTTAATATTACAAATGGGATCAAAATGTACATTATTGTTTTGCAATTTGCATTTTAACTTAATGTTTATATCTACATGTCATTTAATAATCTTCACAACGTTTTTAATGGCATGATACTCCATTGATTTAAAGGACCATGAGTGCACATTTCACAATTTACTTAGGTACTTCCCCATGGTTATAAATTTAGATAATCTGTAACTTTTCAGTGATATGATTGGAATGATAGTAAACATTTTTGTAGCTAAATCTCTTTGCACATCCAGTTATATTTTTAGTACAGATTTTAGAAGTAGAATTGATGAATTAAATGGCATAAATATTTTCAAAGCTCTTTTGGTTCCATAGCCAAATGCCCTTCAAACATTTTTTATTAATCTACAGCCCCCCTAGCAGTGAAATAAAGTACCTATTTCCCTTAATGTTATCAACAGGGGCTAATATCATTTGTAAATATCTGTTGATTGTCTAGTTGAAAAAAAAGAGTACTTCGTTTGTGTTTCTTTGACCACCTGCTGGGAATTAGTAGTTTTTTTTTTATATGATCTCATTTGCGTTTATCTTCTTGGGTGCAAGTTCATTGTACATAAGCTAAATGTGCCACTCGACTGGTTTCTGAACCTCTTGGGTCCCTGAAACAACTGAAGCATTTTAGAGTGACTTGCAAAGCCCTTTACTGATTTGGTTCCAGTGGGATTTTTGGTCTCAGGTCCAGCTGCTTGTTTTTACATAAGTGTGACTGCCAGTCTGAAGAGACAGTATGCACTGTGACATTTTATATCCCCATACCTTTGTGGGATATGACCTTTTCAGTTGTTCTTTAGTCCCTGAATTCATAGTTTAAAGTGTGAGCTTTGAGGTCAGGACGACCTGAGTCCAAATTCTGGCATAGCCACTTAGTAGTTCTGTAATCTTGGGCACTAAATGTTAGTTTTCTCATTTGTCATTGGGGATAGTCTTTCTTTTAGGGAGATGTGAGAATTAAATGAAGTCACGTATGCAAAAATATTTAGCACACTGTCAGGCTCATATAGTACTTAATACTAGAAAATTTTATTACTGTTAATACAACTGTACAGATGTTACCTACCCTACCCTTCATTGATTTTAGTCCTTCTTGTATTGCTATAGCACATTTTGGAGGTTCTTTGTTTTAACGTTTTGGAGATTCTTACATGTTTATCTATCTGCTTCTGCCAGAATACTACTCAAAGAGAGGAGCTGTGACTTGGTCTTTTTAATGTTCCCTGGCCCCCACCACAGTGCTACAGTAGTTGTATTGCTGACTGAATGAAGGACCTTCTTCATGAACTTTTAGCTTTTTAAGCTAAAGAGAATAATTAAATTAATATGATAAAGGCCTTAATTTAAGGGAAACAGTTAAATAAATTGAAGTGAATTTGGAATGGTGATGGTTATACATAGGACTTCAGAAAACCAAAATTTCAAATTTGTATATAATCTCTTTCTCACATAATCATAATATTCAAATATCAAACAAATTTAAGCTTTCAGATTATCTAACAATTTGTGTATGGAGTAAATTAATTTTTGAAGTTCAAATGAGGGATAAGTTTTGAGTTTAACTGCAGAAAGTCATTTTTACCTTACACGCTTCTTTATTATTTGTTTTAATAGAACCTATGTGCAGACACATTAGAAAAGGACTGGAACAAGGTAATTTGAAAAGGGCTTTATTGAATGTGGAATGGAATATTTGCCAAGATTGTAAGACGGACAATAAAGTAAAAGATAAATCTGAAGAAGAAACGGAAGAAAACCCTTCAGTTTGGCTATGTCTTAAATGTGGCCATCAGGTATGCTTAGGTTTTGATCCATATGGGATTTTGTAAAACTCTTTGTGTTAATTTTAGAAGGTATTATGTAAAACCACAATTTGGATGAGTAGGCTACCAGCTGGCTTAGGCCCTATTCCCTGGGGCACAGTTTTGGGGACCGAGGTGTGTATAGGTGGTTTACTGTGGGGTGTTCTCAGGTACCATCCCCAGGAAGAGAGTTAGGGTGGCAAGACTGAGCAGAGGGAGAAGTTGAAGTAAGAGGCAGTGCTAAGGGGCCTTAGCTGATCCCACAGTGAATTCTGGCCTTCAGAGATGTTCTGAACTAAGGCAAGGGGCCAGGCCTTTGTACTTGTGGATAGACTAAACACTGGGTGTGGGATGCCCCTGGGAAGGGGGACTAACCGTGGGCAAGGCAGCTCTGTTCCACTGAGGATAATTCCTGGGGATGGAGAGACTGAGCTGTGAGCTGTCAGTAGGCCTCATTCATGGCAGCTGGGGGAATGAGTACCTTGGTGTTGGGGGATGGAGGGTGTCTAGGCGGCAGAACAGCTCACAGGGATTGCCATGGTCATGAGGTCAGGCCTTTTTCCCTGCTATTGCTGGCAAGTTAAATTCGTATGTCAGACAACTGGGCTGCTAAGGCATTCCTGTCATGAAGCTTCAAGGTGAGGCAGATAATTTTTTTCTTCTAAATTGAAATTTTTTATTGAGATAATTGTAGATTCACATGCAGTATAAGAAATAATGCATAAATCATACCCACACCCCTACTGCCATCTCCCCTGCCAAATCCCTGGCAACCACTAATCTATTCCCTATTTCTAAAATTTTATCACTTCAAAAAATTATATATAAATGGAATCATACAGTATACAGCATTTTTGGATTGGCTTTTTTCACTTAGCATAATCACCTGAAGAGTCATCTAAATTGTGTTTATCAGTAGTTCTTTTTTATTGCTGAGTAGTATTTCATGCTATAGGTGTACCACAGTTTGTTTATTCTTCTGTTAAAGGACATCTGGGCTGCTCCCATTCCACATTTGGTGATTACAAATAAAGCTGCTATGAACATTTGTGTTCATGTTTTTATGATTTCGTTTTTCTGGAAAAAATGTCCAAGAGTCCAATTACTAGGTCATACGTTAGATGAATGTTTAGTTTTTAAGAAACCACCAAATTGTTTTCCAGAGTGTCCATGATGTTTTATATTCCTCCTTGCAGTATATGAGTGATCAACTTTCTCTGCATTCTTGCTAGCATTTAGTATTGTCACAGTGTTTTATTTTAACCATTCTGATGGAAATAGTGCTATCTCACTGTCGCCAGACAATTTAAACGTATTTGAGTGTTGGGGCCCCTGGGTGGCTCAGTTGGCTTAAAAAAATTGAATAATAGCAAAGAACATATTTATTTTTTTTTAAGATTTTATTTATTTATGAGAAAGAGAGGAGGGGGGGGCAAAGACACAGGCAGAAGGACAAGCAGGCTCCCTCCAAGGAGCCCAATGTGGGACTTGATCCTCACCCAGGCATTCCAAAGAACATATTTAGATTTTCACTGTCGTTCTTAACTATATATGGTGAGAATGAATACGTTTTGTTACTTTAGATTTTCCAGAATACATTTCCTATTACAAATTTTATTTTGCTATCTATCTAGTTCCTAAGGGTAAGACAGTTTCACTATTGTTACCTTTGCACTGCTAAGCAAGTGATTCTCAACTGCTATCTTAAGACACGTCATCTCATTCTTATGTTTCAAATGATGTTAATTTTTTTTTCAAAATTAATATTTATTTTCGAGTGAAATGTTGAATGGGATAAATTAGATCAGTAGTGTTGATATCACAGGTAAAGGTTAGAAGCTGTTGATAAACATTTCCCCTTTGACATATAGTTTTAGCTATCACAGAAACAGGACCGCTTCCGTAGTGCAATCCAAGGGAGTTGTTGGCCTGATTCAGATAGATACATAGTGAGGGTATATTTTATAGCAGAGATTTAACCAGCAAAAGGCAGAGAATCTGGTCATGTTCTTTTATGAATAAGCCTAAACATCTTATAAGTGAAAATCTCCCATTTATTTGTTCCATTAATGCTTACTGACCTCCTTCCACTTGGTAAATTTTTTGGTAATAGAAAGATTAATTTTGTTTTTGTGTCTTCAGGATTTATAGTCCAGGGGAGGAAGGCTATAAACAGTAACAACTTTAATATGAAGTAGAAAATAGGAATGCCACTAGGAATTTATACCATATTTTGTAGGAGTTAGCTTACAGTAAGAATACAGCGTTTCTTCATCTCGGGGGGATGACCATAGGCTTGTGAGAGGTAGTGGCCTTTGAGCTAGATCCTGAAGACTGGGTGGGATTTGATAATAGGACAATATGAGAGTTAACCCTAGAAAGATAGGGCGATGTCAGATGGTATCAGGTTTGTTACTTAGAAGTTTAAAAGCAATTCATAATTTTTAAATTGAGTGGGTGAATATAAATTTGTTTTAGATACCATTAAACTCAAAAAGATATGTATGTGAAGAAAGAAGTTGAAGTCAGAAAAATACTTCAGAAGCTGTTAAGTGGTTTGTGCTAGACCTAGTGAATGGCTACATTAGCATGATTTAGTTGGGACTGGAAAAGACAAGTTGGAGAGGAAGAGTACTTTGAGTGCATGGTTCCTGAATACCTTCTTGCTAGATACTCTCAGTTGCCTATTCATGTTTAGGTTTTCATAAAATCGGGACCCTCTTTAGAGTCCACCATGTTATTTCCAAAATTATAAGAATGACAGAACTTCTCAGGTCCCTTGCTTGTGCATTATGGATTATGAATTCTCTTGGTGAACTTTCATAGCTTCGAGGTTTATGATTATTATTCTCTAGGGCTGTGGCAGAGATTCTCAGGAGCAGCATGCCTTGAAGCACTATATGACACCAAGATCTGAACCTCATTGTCTGGTTCTCAGTTTGGACAACTGGAGTGTATGGTAAGTTTAATAACTCTTATGCCTGTCAGTTGACTGGTAAATATTTGAAATATTGGAGAATGGAGGGGTTTAAGGAGGAAGAAGGTTTACATTTTTGTAGGATTTGTTTAAATACATCACTTTCAGAAGGCTAGAGAATTTGAGAACCTTTCAACTTAGTATTATTGTATGCACATAGAAAGTGTAGCATCTAGAAGACAGATGAATCTTCACCCTTCTGTTTTTCTTGCTTCTGATATAAATGGCATGCGGTGCATTATAAATGGCATGTGGTGGGTTATTTTAAATGGCATGTGGTGAGTTATTTAAAAATTGGGACACTGAGAACCAATTTCAGATGAACTGAGAATATAGTAAGATTTTTGCAGTGAATTTGCATGAAAATAAATGTCAGGCTGGTACATATATTTCTTACAACATCATCAAAACAAATTTTCACATCTTTAAAAAACATTTACAGAGCAGCAGTGAACATCATCTGTCTATTGTAAAACGTCTTAATTTTGACGATATAGGCCTGTACTTTGAAATACGTATAGGAAAGACTTCGACTTTCAGATTGTAAATAGCCATTTCAGTAAAGTATTTGGGGTTTTTATATGTATTTATTTATATGTAACCATAGTTCTGACTAACTTTACTATAATAGTAAACCAGAGTTAACATGGATAGTCTGTCTTCTTCAAGAAAACACAGATTTTTATATTCAGTTTCTTTAACAGAATAATTTTGGTGGTTATTCACTTTGGGTTCCAGGAATTATAATTCATCTCCTCTTTTGGTTGTCAGTTTGTCACTTTTCTTCTCTGTGGTCTTTTGGGAAACAGGTGTTACCTATGTGATGATGAGGTCCAGTATTGTAGTTCAAACAGATTGGGTCAGGTGGTTGATTATGTTAGAAAACAAGCTGGCATTACAACTCCAAAATCAGGTAAAATCATTTGTTTCTTTATGTATTCTGTAATGTTCATTTATGTATCTATTTCGATAAATTTACTTACTGCTCAGCATTATATACACCTGAATAACATTAATTATAGTTGATTTCAAACTATGAAACTATTTTTGGTTAGGAATATAAAAACAATGGAACTATAGATTGTAATAATATGATATAGAAGGGAATCTTAGAAACAGTCTAGTCAAATGTGATGATGAGTCTGGAGTAGTAATGACCAGGGATGCCCTTTCTGTAGGGGGTTTGAGATGGTCCTGCCTTGTACTGAATTTGTTTTGTTACATTTGTGTTTGGATGATGTAAAAGTGAATGCTAGCTATTTCTCAGCTTTTTTTCATGCATAATTAAATTAATTGGATTGGCATACATCATCTGCTTTAAGCTTGTTTTGATTTTTACGGTCACAGAAGTATCTGCACAGCTGGAATTGTTTGTTTTTAACTTCAGGATTCATTTTTCACCCATTCATTTAAAAATTTATTTCAGGTCCACATTCTTTACTTGATTACTTTATACTCTAATTTCATAAAGTAGGATGTGCTCATTTGTAAAACAAACAAACAAAAAACTTTTATGCAATAAAAAAGGTTTATACCAAACACACACTGTTTGGTTTCATTTGTCAAACTAATGCTTACATCACCTTTGAGTGTTTTTATTGGTTTTTCTCTTGTGACGATAATTTACTTATATCTGTTAGAAAACATTTAAAATGAAACAGCTGGGGATAATGATGTTAGATAAAAATTCACAAATTCTAATACTCTGCCCCAACTATAACTTTGCATTTGTTATAGTTGTATTACACATTTTGCTAAGTCTTTGTTTTCTTCCCTTTTTTAAAGCAGCAAAAGATGGTAATGTTGAACTTGAAAATAAAAAATTAGAAAAGGAGAGCAAAAATGAACAAGAGCGAGAAAAAAAGGAAAACATGACTAAAGAAATTCCTTCCACGAATTCTGCTTCCCAAATAACTGTGAAAGGACTCAGTAATTTGGGAAATACATGTTTCTTCAATGCAGTTATGCAGGTGCCAATCTTAATTTTGTTTCCCTCTTCAAAAATTCTTTTCCCTCACATTATAGGATGTTTTTGCATACTTGTTACTTTTAGTATTAAGTTTTTTCCCCCAAGTAATTCATTTTGGGTTTTTTTTTTTTTTTAATTTTTTTTTATTTATGATAGTCACAGAGAGAGAGAGAGAGAGGCAGAGACACAGGCAGAGGGAGAAGCAGGCTCCATGCACCGGGAGCCCGACGTGGGATTCGATCCCGGGTCTCCAGGATCATGCCCTGGGCCAAAGGCAGGCGCCAAACCGCTGCGCCACCCAGGGATCCCATTTTGGGGTTTTTGAAGAGTGCTTAAGGAAGTGTTGACTTTGCATGACAGTAAATCACTGTGCTGAGCACTGGGGTCTATTGGAGTTAAAAACCAACATAGCATCTGCCTTCAAGCAACTTGCACTGGGGTGGGGGAAGCACAAGGTAACCTAGTATAGAAACAAATACCTAGTTACAAGTGCTGGTGGTGGTAAGGTAGCTACTTAATATTGCATAGTAGGCAGTGCTGTTTTGAGGAAGCTTTGAACCGAAGTACTTAGGAGCCAAATTAAGTGGGGAGTTACAGTTTTGTTTCCTAAGGTGGATACAATGAAAACTGCAGTATTGATAGTGATTTTCTGTTTTGATAGAATAGACACTTAAGAAATACTTGAATTATTTGAATATTTGAGTGACGAAATAGAGTTGTTTTGCTTTTAAATAATTTTCCTTTTATTTTCCATGCTGTATTCCAGAATTTGTCACAAACACCGGTGCTGAGAGAACTGCTAAAAGAAGTAAAAATGTCTGGAACAATTGTAAAAATTGAACCACCTGATTTGGCACTCACTGTATGTACTTTTTTTCTTTTACAATCAGTAATTTTCCTCTCTGAACATCCACATCCTAAATTATTTTTAAAAATTGTCATTTTTCACTATTCTTATTTGTTTGCTTTTGTTTTAGGCTACTGAGATAAAATTTTCAGGCTAATAGAATAAGCCTTTAGATTTATTTGCTATGTGTATACCATGTTCTGCTGTGCTGTAGTGTTAGGTGTCCTTCCTGGGAAAGCTGTTGATAGGTGTGGAGCCTCAGGCAGGCATTATTATTTTTAACAGCTTTTAGGGTGACTTAAATGATGTGTAGCAAAGTGAATTTTATCCTATCCATGTTTATTACTCACATTTTGCTCTGGCTTTTTTAGTTCTTAGTTGGTCCGCTCCTGATGTTCTAAAATGAAAACAGTAGAACTGAATTCTTCATAAATAGTCAATGACCAGAAGCTTTCTACTACGTCTTTTGATGTGCATTTTGAGGTTTTAAATGGGACAGTTCTATCCAGAACATTGACACTAACAAGTAGACTAGCTACATTTTGGTAACATGAATGATTCTAAAATTTGACTGAAGAAAGTAATTTTTATTCCCATATTCAGGAACCCTTAGAAATAAACCTTGAGCCTCCAGGCCCTCTTACTTTAGCCATGAGCCAGTTTCTTAATGAGATGCAAGAGACCAAAAAGGGAATCGTGACACCTAAAGAACTCTTTTCTCAGGTCTGTAAAAAGTGAGTATCTGCTTTGATTATGTTTTCAGTGCATCAGTAAGATGCTGAGAAATAATATGAAAAACTCAATAGCATTAGAGTCAACTCAGTACATGTATTACAGCATGGTTTATTGCATCTGGATTAAAAAACATGAAAATGTCATGTGCAAATTAAATCTGCCAAGGGTCTTGTCGAACTGAATGGAAATTTTGAGAAACTAGAACCACTCTGAGATTTGGGATATGGTCCTAAGATCTTGTAAAAATAGTTTCATATTTTAGTAGACTCATTGTTTTCCTTTCTCTCTTTTCTTCTTTTTTTCTGTAGAGCAGTACGGTTTAAAGGCTATCAGCAGCAGGACAGCCAGGAGCTGCTTCGCTATTTATTGGACGGAATGAGAGCAGAAGAACAACAAGTTAGCAGAGTTTGACCAGTATAATTTATTATCCCACCTTCACTAACTTGTCTGCCATTTGACATCTTAAGGGTTATTAAAACAATGAAAACTAGTTATTGAGGCCATTGGATTTAAACATTTTTTCTATACCAGTGTTTTCAACTGGTATATTTTAGTCAGTAGAATGAATAAAGAGGATTAGAAATGGTTCTCCTTTTCATGATGCTCTGTTTTCCTTGCTGGTTAGAGTATTATTGTTCTTTAGGAGTTCTCTTCTATTGTACTGGCCTATGCCAGGAGAGTTCTGGAGTATTGGAAAATGTTTCTCCTAAAACGGTTCCCAGTTGCAGTGCATTCTTGGCTCTTACTCTGAGTGTGATTTATTTAACACAGTTGCTTGAGTCTGGGAAGTATGTTCATTTCCAAGAGTCAGGGAACATAGTTATGTTTGTAAATGGCCAGATATAAAGTAAGGTATTTGATGTTGAGTATAATTAATAATAGTACTACTAGTGATAATATTTATTTTGCTCTTATTTTATGTGAAGCACTGTTCTCAGAATCTCATGTGAATTACCTTACTCGGTCCTCACAGTCTTTCTCTGAAGTGGATGCTGTTAATCATTTTCTTGTTTCAGACTGTGAAGCTAGGGTGGAAATAAGTTGAGGACCTGGTTCAGGGTCACCCAGTAATGATGGTGTTTGGCTTTGAGCACTGGAGTCCCCTTTAGCTCTCATTTAAACGGTCTGATTCTAGGACATGATGTTTCAGTGGTCTTTCTGAGGAGGTGTGCATGTGCTGAAAAGCTTTGGTTTGGATAGATTTAAAATCTTGAAGTAAGACAGTGCCCATGTTCAGGGATTAGTGATTGTTTTGTAATTCTTTTTAGCTCCTTGAATTAATTTTGGAAATGTGATTTTTAGAAATAATTTTTATTCAGTAAGTTTGGGGAGCTAATTCTTGATCACCTTTTTGACTTGGTTACATATTTTCTAAGGAAAATAACTAAAACTTTAAAAATTTAATAGTGTATATATATCCATTTTATTACTTTTAGAGAGTGAGTAAAGGAATTCTTAAAGCATTTGGTAATTCTACTGAAAAATTGGATGAAGAACTAAAAAATAAAGTTAAAGGTAATGTCTGACTTTTTGAACTAACACACTATAGTTGAATTCTTCTGTATCTTAGGACGAGATTGCTGGTACATGTTATTTCAAATTCACAGTTATTAACATAATTTTTCTTTATCATCATTGATTTTAAAAAGTTATTCAGTACTCCAGAGGTGAATATTTTAGAAAAAATTAACTTTTGTTGTATTTTTATGCAGTGTTATAGTGAAATTTATAAAGATAGAGCTAAAATGACATCATGATTTTATTTTACAAAAGCTTACACAGTTGGCCCTTGAACAATGCATAAGTTAGGGGCACCAGTCTCTTCTTGCATCATTCTCGCACACTCAGAAATCTACTTTTATAACTTTTCCACTCTCCCAAAACTTAACTACTAATAGCTCACTTTTGACTGGGAGCCTTACTGATAATCTAAACAGTAAAGTAACATTAATTTTGTTTGTGATATGTATTGTGTACAGTATTCTCACAACAAAGTTAAATTAGAGGGAAGAAAATGTTATTTAGAAAATCATGAGAAAGTGAAAATACATTTTCAGTACTGTGCCGTAATTATTGAAAGGAATCACGTATAGGTGGACCCACACAGTTCAAACCTGTGTTGTTCAAAGGTCAACTGTATTTCTAATTAGCAGTGATATGTCAGTTATAGTGGTCTATGTGAGTTTTCAGTAGCTGGTTTGCTAATCATGGAGCCAACTTCATTATTACTGTTGTGTGGCATTTAAAGATTTTAGGACAGGTTAGTCCAATAGAACCTTCTGTGATAGAACTCTTGCATATTTATGCTGTCTGATACAGTAGCCACTAGCCACACGTGGCCATTTAGCCCTTGAAATGTGACGGAGATGACTGAGGTACTAAATTTTTATCTTTATTTCATTTTAATTTAAATCATTACAAGTGACTAGTGGCTACTGTATTGTAAAGCACAGGTTTTTTTTGTTTGTTTTTTGTGGGGCTTGAACTCATGGCTCGGAGATCAAGAATCAGATGCTTTATTAACTGAGCCAGCCAGATCTCCCTGTGAAGCATAGTTTAGAATCAATATGTAGCACCTGTGTGCCTCCTTCATGCCCTTTAGGGCCAGACTAGTAACAGAGAATCCTGCCCTGCTGGCGCTGTCATTAAGTATGTTTCTCTATAAATGGACACGCTTGTCATTTGAATAAGGCTCTTATACATTTCATGTATTTAGAAAATTGGGTGACCAGGTAGTAAAATTGTCACCTTATACTAAACGTACCAAGATTATTTCTGGGAACATAGAAAAATTAAAAGGAAGATTTTGTCTGAAACACTTTCCTGATTTTTGTTTTTGTTTTTTGGTTTTGAATGAAGTTCAGTCTTAAGAGTTTAAAAGCAAGTACATTCTCTCTTGAGTTCTTTGCTAAATATTATTAGAGTGGTAGAGCTAGAAGTGATCTAGACTATCATCCAGGTTGGCCCCATCTGTTCATCTTACTAGCATGGGTATTGATATATAGAAAGTCTCACTGACTTGCACAGTTTATTTTCTACTGATTAGATCTATGATAAGAACTTTTTCTTTTTCATGAGACATGATTGTGTTAAATCATGTTATGCTCAAAAGTAGAGTAGATGTTGCTGATCATAGCATAAAAATAAAATGGTAATTATGAACAGAGAAAACTTGTGGGATAGGAAATAAAAAATAAAATTTTAGGGTTACATGGGTAAGTAAATAGTTTTAACTTATTCAAATAATTATATAAGGGTAATTGATAAATTTTCTTTTCCCTTTTTAGATTATGAAAAGAAAAAGTCTGTACCAAGTTTTGTGGACCGCATCTTCGGTGGTGAACTAACTAGTACAATCATGTGTGATGAATGCAGAACTGTAAGTTGACGTACTATGGACTCCATTTATTCATTAATATTAATAGAGTATAGTTCATCAGTTGTATCTTTCAAAAACAAATGTGTAGGTTCATAAGGATTCTTTATTGGACTGCCCAAATCTGCATAGTTCTTTCCTGGGACTGTGAACACTTCTTATACCTGAAAGAAGTTAGTTTAACATTTTAATTTATTTCTCCTAACCCAAAGCCCTCAACACTGTGTAATTTATCATTTTCCTTAGAATGTAATTTAAAATGTAACAACCCCTCCCCCTCCATGATCTTATTCTATAATGTCTAAAATGAATCTTTTCCTTCCTTTTTACGTTTTCTTTTTGGTTGGTTAAGGTCTCATTGGTTCATGAATCTTTTCTTGATTTGTCTCTACCGGTTTTAGATGATCAGGTAAGACTTAAGAATTTATTTATTTATATTTTTATATTATTTGTATTATTAAATATAAATATTTAATATTATATTTAAATATATAAATATTATTTATTTTTATATTTATATTTTATAAATAAAAATCTATTTATAGATATTTCCCCCCTCTGTGTTAGATTTTATGAGGGAAGCCTTGTCACTTTTTCCAAGTTTGTACATTAGCCCTTGGAGGAATTTTTTTAAATGTATTTGAGATAGAAGAATTTTAAAGGTTTGAATAAAAATTGGGGTAAATGCTTTTTTATTTTAAAAGAGGATAGATGGTGTGTTTAGAATTCTTTATAGATGATTAGCTTGATTGGTTAACATATTGGGGAAGTGTCTTTTTCATATTAAAAGTTACTATTTTTTTTCTCATTATTTAAGACTAAAAACAAATCCTTTACAGTCTTCAGTTCATACATGCTCTGTATCTCAGTTTTATTTTATTTTATTTTATTTTTATTTTTATTTTATTTTATTTTATTTTTTTAATTTTTTAATTTTTTAATTTTTTATTTTTTATTTTTTTATTTTTATTTTTTTATTTTATTTTTATGTATCTCAGTTTTAAGTCATATTAATTCAGTTCCAATCAAGTAGTGGTTGGAAAAAGAGAACCTGTTATGAATATTGGATCATTATTCAACTTCATATGAATTCGGGGTCCCTTTAATCAGTGTTACTTAGTGACTAAAGTCTTTCCAAATTTATTTGGTCTTTCTCTAAAACTCATTTACGTGGAAAGAAGGAAAAGGATAAAAAGGAATGTCTGTAGTGGGACAAGTAAATCACCGATAAACAGAAACTGCTTTTAGAAAGTGGCTTAATTATTGTGGGATGCAGCACGTATCTGATAAAATGCATGGTATTCCTTTCTATTTTGCTGGCACATGAAGTTGCCTTTTTTACTGTTTTGTTTGTTGGCTTGTTTTCTCAGTATGTGAAGATTGCTTTCTAGATTCTTTGGAGATGAAAGAGTTTTGTCCTGGATATATTTTCAAACATTGTGGAAAGTAAATCCAGTGTGAAATAGGAGTAGAAAAATATTTAGGTAACATGAAATCTCTTCACCAAACAGTAGTTGTAAAATTTTATTTTTGGCCCATATTTTAAGAGCGGTAAGAAGAGTATAAATGAAAAAAATTTGAAAAAGACAATGGAGGATGAAGATAAAGAGAGTGAGGAGGAGAAAGATAATGACAGTTACATGAAAGAAAGGAGTGACATTCCTTCAGGAACAAGTAAGCACTTACAGAAAAAAGCAAAGAAGCAAGCCAAAAAGCAAGCCAAGGTGGGTAACTAGGAAGAAAACTATGCTTTTTCTAATTTTATATTTGCAACTATTGAATCTGAAGTCTGAATGATAGAAAAGGTTGTGCGTTTGTTTTTTTTTAACCCTGCATTACTTTTGAGAACTTTTTTTTTAAGAGAGTGAGAGTAGGGGTGGGGTAGGGGTAGGGGCGGAAGGAGAAGGAGAGAGAGAATCCCAAGCAGGCTCCACACTCCGCCCAGCACTGACCCCACGCAGGACCCAATCCCCACAACCCCGAGATCCCCACCCGAGCCGAAATCAAGAGTCGGACACTCAACCGACTGAGCCTTGCAGGCACCCCTACTTGTGAGAACTTTTTAAGAGTTTTAGTTCATTTTTAACAATTTTTTGAGTTCTTAATACATTGACTTTTCAAAAACTTAAAAATATGTAAAGACGCAGTACGAAAGTCCTCCGCCACCCCTATCCTTTTTATAACAGATAACCCCTTTCATTAATGTCCTATGTGTTCTTCTGGAGTTTGTTTTGGAAAATACGATAAAATACAAATATGTAGTCTTGTTTTTTCCCCCTCATTTTTAAAAGATTATACACACTGTTCTGGACTCTGTGTTTTGTTTCTATTGAATCAGATTCTTGGAGATTTTTCCATTTCAGGACACAAAGATTCCATTGTTTTAAACAGCTGTATAGTATTCTGCTTTATAGATGTACCGTAGTTCATGTCACCATTTCTCTATTGATTTATGTTGTTTGTAGTCTTTAACTGTATAACAGCCAGTACCACAGTGAATCATCCTATACCCTTGTCATCAGTAGGGCACAGTTTGAGAAGAGGGATGGCGTTTGTAGTTTTGATCAATGTTATCTAATTGCCCTCCACAAAGGCTGTATCAATTTATATTCCCACCAGCAACAATGAGACTTGCTGTTTCTCTTTATCCTTGACAGACGTGTGTTATCAAACTTCTGGATTTCTGCTGGTTTCAAAGATGGAAAATATTTTCTCAGTGCAGTTTTTCCATTTATTTTAATATAAGTAAAGTATATTTTTATATTTGAGCCATTTGTGTTCCCTCTTCTTTGCAATATTTGCTTATATCCTTTCTCTGTTTTCCTTTCATGTTGCAACTGTTTGTAGCTTAAGCACATTGGAAAATGTTTGTGTCCTGTGTGTGTCCTTTGGCCTCCTGGTATTATTACAGATTAGCCTCATGGGGACTGTTGTTTTACCATACATCTTTAGGCATTCCAGTGACAGGAGTGTCAATGAAATGCCTTTTTCCCCACTTTACTTGGAAGTAGGCTGCAAATGGCAAATAAAATGATTTTAGGAGGGAAGTCCTTTATTGTCCTCTGTTCATGAGACTTCCTTGCTTCCTCCCTAAATGGGGGCCATTTGTTTCCTGGGATGTTTTCCTCCATCCTGCCCAAAGCAGTCCTGTACTTGTGCATCTTTGTTTTCAGTTTCTTTTTTCTTCCTTCAGTTAAACCATGACCCAATAATCATGACTCACATGGACATATCCCTTCCTGCTGTATGTGTAGTCACACTCCCCACGTGGTTTAATACTTGGCTGTTTGGGCTTGACAGTGTCTTTCTAGGCTCCTGCTCTGTCTAGGTCACTTCACTTAGAACACAGACCATGTCTTGCACATTTTTATTTGCCCTGTGTGACAATATTTTGACAATTGGTGATGGTTTATTCCTGCCTTCAGTTAAAGAACTTTCTTCATAATTTATTTCATCCCTGATAATAAAGGAACTTTTATTTTCAGAATTTGGGAGTGCACTCTTCCTTATAAACTTATGTTTGATTGATAATCAAGAAAACCTGATGTGGTATATGTATGCTCTTTCTCTTTCTATCCCCCCCCCCCATTTTTTATAATGTTGTATGCTTTTTGCACAGAACCAACGAAGACAACAAAAAATTCAAGGAAAAGTTCTTCATTTAAATGATATCTGCACCATTGACCATCCTGAAGATAATGAATGTGAGGTTGAAATGTCAGTTCAGGGAGAAGTGGATGTTAAATCTAACCATATCTCAGAAGAGGAAATTACACATAAAGAATATTGTGTTAACCAGAAAGATTTGAATGGCCAAGAAAAAATGATAGAAAGTGTAATTGACAATCAAAAATCCACAGAGGAAGTAGATGTGGACAATGTCAACATGGATAATGATCTGGAGGTTTTGGAATCTTCTCCCACTGAATGTACTAGGAATTTAAACGGTGCCTATCTGACAGAAGGGAGCAGTGGAGAAGTGGACATTTCCAGTGGTTTCAAAAACCTTAATTTGAATGCTGCTCTTCAACCTGATGAAATAAATATAGAGATTCTGAATGAGAGTCATTCTCCTGGGACCAAGGTGTATGAAGTTGTAAACGAAGATCCAGAAACTGCTTTCTGTACTCTTGCAAACAGGGAAGCTTTCCATACTGATGAGTGTTCCATCCAACATTGTTTATATCAGTTCACCCGAAATGAGAAACTTCGAGATGCAAATAAACTGCTTTGTGAAGTGTGCACGCGGAGACAGTATAGTGGACCAAAGGCAAACATAAAAGGTACTTACATTCTCTCACTGAAAGTGAAATTAGTGTTCAGGGGCACATTTTGGGCGGCGTAGGTAGAAAACTGCTATTTTAATTGTATCAGGATTCGGATGGCATCAAGTAAGTTCCTCCCCTGTGTAAATATTTTAACAGAAGGTTGGACAAACAGATTGAAGTGGCTAATACCCTGTGGTGGCCGAACAGCAGATAGAGTGGGACAGTTTGCTCTCCAGTACCTTTCTCTGTGGGTAAATCATCCCACTGGGTTGTTATTGCAACAGGTCTTTAACAGATAATGGCTATTTCTTTGTATCCTCAGTTTCCGGTCAGCATTTGTGATGATCCTCCTCTCCCTTGCATGCAGGAAGCTACACTGCATCTCATCAGTGCACTCCTGTGGCATGCCCAGTGCAAGGTGCTGGGAGGACAGTGCTCTCTCCTAGTCTCGTCAAATATAGAACAGAAAAATATTGATAATTCCCTTTCCTCCCTCCCCCTCCCCCCCTTTTTGAGCTTGGGTAAGTGGGTTAAGGAGGGATTGTGGTTTCCTAAGGATTCTTACTAGAATCACTGAAACTTTTTAAGGTCTAGCTTTTTATTTGCAAGTCAACATAAGAAAATATTTGTGTTGATTTTATAGCATTTGTATTTGCTTTAGAGCAAATAGCATTTGTATTTGCTTTAGAGCTGAACCAGACTGTTGTCCACAGTCAGGTTCTTGTATGGTGTCTTGAAATGTTCTTTATTGCTGAACATTTGGAAATGATTTGGTGGTAGAAAATACTAACTTTGAGCCCCAATTAATTAAATGGTATCTCTCCAAAAATAATTCCGGTCTTCTCTTCAATAGAGTAGTTGTATTCACTTACGGCTGTATTTTGAATTACATCAGTAAAAATTTGTGGGAATTTGTGGAAATCTTTACTGATACCTACAAAATGTCCTTGATTTTGCCTCTTGGTCCACAGAGCCCAAAATATTTATTATCTGGTCCTTTCCAGAAAGTTTAGAGATAATTGTGTTAGATGTTTAAAATTATTTTATAGCAAATGTGAATGCTTTAGAAGTTGAAGATGATTTTCACACTAAAATTTCTTTCTTTAGGTGAAAGGAAACATGTTTATACCAATGCCAAAAAGCAGATGCTGATTTCTCTTGCTCCTCCTGTTCTTACTCTTCATTTAAAGAGATTTCAGCAGGTACTACCCCTTTGTTACCTCAAATTTATTTTAAATATGTAACACTTGCTTTATTTATTATTGTCCCACCATATTACTGTGTTTCTTTGGTTTTCTGTTATTTCTTAATTCTAGCTTTAAAAAAGTAGGGAAGTAAGAAATATATACCTGTGCATGATGAAAGCTTAGTTGAAGATGCCTGTCAAGGTGGAGGAGAAATATAGGCACGATTTTTCTTCAGTTTTACTAAAACTCATGTTGTTCTTTTGAGTAAAATTAGCATCTTACTCTAAGCTTTTTTTCAGGTTAGAAAATAATAAATCCAGTTTACTAGCTGTATTTCACACCTAAGAAAATTAGTATTTTTCTGTTTTGTGTGTAGTACCTTATTTTTACTGACCCTTGATAAAAAGACATTGATAACTCGGATTTTTGTCATTTTGGTGACCCTGTCTTTTCTGGAAGACTTGTTGTAAGACAAGTTTTAAATTCAGTTCCAAATTTCCAAAGTACTTTTAGAATGTTTTCCCTCCCATGGTTGGTGTATGGGTTTGACTAATTGGGTGGATCTCTGTGAATCAAGCACTAATAAGCTTGTTTAGAGAAGGAGGCTGAGAGTATGTGCTCCATGGAAAAGTATTCTGCTGTTGCTGAGTTTTAAGCACTCAAAACCTCTGATCTAATCTGGCTTTTCTGGGTGGCTAGAGCAGAAACACAGAATTTTCTCATGGGAACAGCTTGCTCCCCCACCCTTTTTTTTTTACTGTAGGCTCCATACCCAGTGTGGAGCCCATCGTTGGGGCTTGAGCCTCTAACCCCTGAGATCAAGACTTGAGCTGAGATCAAGAGTCAGACACTTGACCAGCTGAACCAGATTTCTAGAAGCAGATTTTTTTTTTTTTAATTTATTCATGAGAGAGGCAGAGACACAGGCAGAGGGACGAAAAACAGGCTCCATGCAGGGAGCCCCATGCAGGGAGCCTGATGCAGGACTCAATTCTGGGACTCTGGGGTCAAACCCTGAGCCAAAGACGCTGAACTGCTAAGCCACCCAGGCATCCACGAAAGCAGATTTCTTAACGTGTTGGTGTGTGTGTGTGGTGTGCACTTAGCAGAAATTATTTAGTAGTCAGAAAGAAGAGTCTCCTGAGAAGATTGAACTAGGGTTGGCTATTGGTGTTCATTTGTGCATTGGTGTGGGACTACAGTTTACTTAATGTATATAGCTTTCCCAGGAAAACAACTCAGTCTGTTATCTCTCTTTTTTAGGCTGGTTTTAACCTACGTAAAGTTAACAAACACATAAAATTTCCGGAGATCTTAGATTTGGCTCCTTTTTGTACCCTTAAGTGTAAGGTAAGTGAGAGTGGTCTTTTTGGGAAAATCTTTCAAAGGGAAATCATAGTTTATTTACCAGATACTCCCAAAAGTAACTCACTTAAGTAAGAAGTTGATAAGAATGACTGAGTGGGTCTTTGATCTTTGTACCATTATAATATCAAGATCTGGGATGAATCATTTTGAACATTAGATTTCAGTTCAGTGATTTTTTTCAATCTATATTATTATGGCAGACATTGTCTTGGAAGCCAAAGGTATAAAACTAAAGATCAGCAGATATATTAATTTCAGTTTAATATCGTTGAATATAGTATAGACAGAGGAGGGTGGTATGCACTTAACCCAGTATGTTGGTGGTTCAGAGAAGGCTCTGTGAAGTAGATCACACCTTAACCACTACCTAAAGAAGTAAGAGTTAGTGTGATGGATCAAGAGGAAAAAAAGTTTTACAGGCAGAGGAAACAGAACAGCTAGAGCAAAGATGTATAAAATGATGTGATGAGGACTAGCAGTATAAGCAGTTGTAGAGCTTACAGTAGTACAAAGCCTAGAGAACACTGGGAGGTGAAACCAGAGAAGTGAGATGGGAATGAGGTTTGGAGGATTATCATGCTGAGGAACTTGGGCTTTATTAGGTATGCAGTAGGGTGCCACTGAAGGGTTTAAAGCAGTGGGGTGACATAGCCAGATGTGTATATTACACAGGTTACTTGCTGAAGCATGGAGGCTGGATTTTAGAGGAAAAGCCTAGAGAGAAAGCTGCTCTTGTCTTCAACAGACGGGAGGCTGTTGAATTAATTTTAGTCAATGGTGAGGGCTTCACCTAGGGGAAGAAAAGGGCGAGATTGAAAGAATATTTCAGTAGATAAAATTAACCAGACTCATGATTGGATTGGCTCTGTAAGATGAGGAAGAGGCCTTGAAATGGATGGTTACGGGTGGCACAAAAAGAGGTATTGAGCATGATTCCTGAGGCCTGGCTTGAGTGACGAGGCAGCTGTGTAGATAGGAGTACCATTAGCTGAGGTAGGAAATATAGGAAGAAGAGCAGGTTGGGAGGTGGAGAAAGGATAATGACTTTGGTTTCGGGTACATTGAGTTTATTTTTGAAATACTCAAGGGGCTTTGGAAAACATTTGGATGTATATGTCTGAGGCATAGGGTAGAGGGGTTAGGTTTGGAGATAAAGATTTGGAAATCAATACATAGGTTGTGGTTAAAACTGTGAGGATAATCTATCCTGTGTAAAGCATGGAGAAAGAAGGGATGCTTAATGGCAACTCTGGTGAGCATCTGAATGTAAGAGGCATATGTAGAAGAGGAGGACATTACCAATGATCTCAATGTATCTCCATGTTGCAGAATTTGGACAGAGAAGCTATAGTATTGTATGATATTCTGATTTCAGATGCTTCAGTCTAAACCTTAATAACTTACTTTATGTGCAGAATTTGAAATGATAGAAATTCTCCTGTCCTCCCTCCCAATTTAAAAATGTAAAATTCTCTGCGAAAGGTATTTCAGAGCTGGTGGGTAGGTTGAATTGTAATTTCAGATTGTCACCATGGGGCAGGACCACTTTTGCTGGTAAACAGAAATACTTTTTGTTGGATTAGTTCAAACACAAGGTTGTTAGGAATCCATCGTTTGCCTAAAATGACATTGCCTCGTGTTCAAGTTTCAAGGAAAGGACTAGGTGGCCTCAGTGTATCATAGAAAAAGAATTTGAAAGTATTTGTGGATTAGATGGTATAGAGGTCATGGTAAATTTTTAAAGAAGCGTTGGTGACTTCAATGAATTGAGAAATGAACGAGAATATTGGAAATAAAGCATGCAGATATATCAGAGGCTTTGTTGAAAAGTAGTGGATCAATGATTTTTTTTTTTTTTTTTAAGTCTGGGAGACTTAAGGTTGGTAGGCTAAGAGGAAAATCTACAAATTGAAGATACAGAAAAGAGAGTTAATTGAGTAAGACCCTGGAGGCCAGAAGAGCTTAGCAACACTAAATTGGAGTATTGTCTCTGAACAAAAGGGAGAGATACTTCATCTTCCCAAGAATGGGCAATTTAGACTTGGGTAGATTCTATCTGTTTTCCTGAAGTGGGAGGTGAGGTCAACTGCAGAGAATAGTAAAGGACTGGGGTGTCCAGGGAGGCTAAAGCAGTGGTTAAGTGTGGGCCTGTTGCTGTGAAGGAAATCCACGGAACTAGGGAGCTAACTAAAGAAGTTACCATATCAGAGTGATGGGGGGATCCCAATGAGTCCTCAGTGAATTTACCCATCTGCAGGCTGTGTAATTGTGCTTCCTAGCAGTGGCAGCTGTCTTTGGGGATGGGAAGGGTTTGTTGTAGATTTGAGTAGGGTTTTCTCATCACTCAGTATGCTTTGCCAGCTGCTGGTGGGTGAGAGATTGTAGGACTGACACATGTGGTCCGAGTTCTGCGGCTTTTAATGTGCAATGTCGCGTGAGCAGTGGTAGGTCTGGGGGGGTGGGGAGGGGCTGTGCTCACACTGCCATTCCACTGCCATTATGAGAAGTGAAGACACAGACTTGGTCAGGAAATGAGGCCAGAGAAAATGAGGACTGGAGGATCCAGTTAGGTTGGAGGGAGGAGACAGGTGAGATGAGAAGTGGAAGAATGGGACCACTGTGGACTGAGGCTAGAAAAGTAGGATGACTTGTAGCCATAGTTCCGAGTGAGGACCCATCACAGTAGAGTGCTGGGTGTGGCAGCTAAAATGGGCTGGCAGCTAAAATGGGCTGGCGGCAGACGTCCTGGGAAGTATATTGAATACTGAATTCCCTGAGGAAGCTGACCGACCGGATTTGGGGTAAAACATGAAGTTCTTCAGTGACTAGGGGGCCACAGATTTGAAGAGAGGACAGAACTGTGGAAGGACAATGTTGCCCCATTCAGAATTTTTTACAAGAGAACTTAAGTGGAAGTCATCTGAATGTGGCCCCCAGCTCGGAGAACGTTTTTCCCTGTTACCAATCTATTGTATAGCATATGAGATCTTAATTAAAAGAATAAGCAGCCTCCACGGTTTAGACAGTGAAAGTGAACATTTGAGAAGCCGCACGTCTAGGGGACACGTGTAAGGGGTGGTTTCAACACAACTTGAACACTATCCTCTTGCTCTTACGAAGGCTTACTGTCTGGGCAGGAACTGGAATGATGGAGCCGTTGAGGTATTTTGCCATTATCACAACCCAGGACTCCTGTGGAAACTGGCAAGTTGAGTTATTTAAGTATCTGGGCCAGGAAACTGCAGCTGCAGCAGGTGTCCTCTGGCTTCTGATTCTAGCAGAGAATGGTGACACACTTTCTCATAACCTAAGTGTGACTGACACTCACTACTCAGGCTGGGTAAATGTAGAGAGAAAATAGTAGTTGAGGTCAGACTTAATGATTTCTACATTCTCCAAGTAAAGGTTAGAAACCCTCCACACAAATTGATCTTGCCACAGGCATCTATAAATGGGACTAGAACTAACTTGAATTCTGTTTACTTTGAAAGAATGTTGCTGAAGAAAATACAAGGGTACTGTATTCCTTATACGGAGTCGTTGAACACAGTGGTACCATGAGGTCAGGGCATTATACTGCCTATGCCAAGGCAAGAGCTGCAAATAGTCATCTTTCTAATCTTGTTCTCCATGGTGATATTCCACAAGGTAAGAGGTCTTGGAAAATTCTAGAATTCAGATTATGGCAAAACAAAAAAATAATGAAACTTGAATCTTTCCATTTATATTTTCTCGACAGATTTTGAAATGCAGTCAACCAAAGGGCAGTGGTTCCACATCAGTGATACACATGTGCAAGCCGTGCCTACAACTAAAGTACTGAACTCACAAGCGTACCTCCTATTTTATGAGAGAGTATTATAATAGTTTCAAAAAGCGCTCTCTCCAGAAACAAGTCGATGGCTTTTAAAATGGCTGTAATTAATGATAATAAAGAAGTAAAGACTAACTGTAAAATCATGTTCACTTAAAATCAAACACATCCCAGAAGAAATCATGTTTGTTAAAATATCGAAGGGAAAAATACCTAAAAATTTACAATGGTTTTGTATTGTCATAGTGGTTTTTATTCTTGCTTCCAGTTTCTGGAAATGATTTGAATTCCTTAAGTGCTCTGTGCTTAAATATGTCTGGGTGGTGGGTTGTTAACATTAATAAACTGACTTGCCCCCAAAATTTGTTTTATTACTTGGAAAATTTTAAGTTGTGTGCTTAACCCTAGCAAATGACATTTAAAAAATGTTTCAGACTGCCTAATTAAACTTCAAATGTATTTTTAAAAGTGTTGATTATGTAAGCATAGGTATTTGATCCTGGCAATAGTATAAAATTGGAAGAAATACCTGTATCTACAATTCTGATGTCATACAGTGTACCTAAGCTGGGGTGTAGGCCTAACTGCATTTGTTCTATGCAACTGTTAACTGACCCAAGGTAGACACTCCTGAGACACTTAAGTAATTTGGTATCAGGACCCATTAATGTGCTAGCATGCTAGAGAAAATGTCCTTCTACTCAAGTCTGCCAGCATTTCCAAGTTGCTTACTATCCTAAAAAGCCTTAAGGAATACCAAGCTTGTCTATAAACTTCATCACTCATAACCCTCGTTGACTTTAAGATCCAGTCAGTTCTACTGCTTCCCCAATTCCTTTCAAATGCCAAATATATAAATTTTAAGTATAAAATTTCAGTGTTAAAGACCTTATATGACCAATATGTATAGTAGCACATATTCCCATAAAACCAGTTAATCTTTCGTGTTTTTTCAAAACTCCTTACAGATCTTAAATAAGATCTACTTTACAAAAACTGACTTAATTTATCTCCATTAGCAGCAGATTATATATATATTCAGTTGTATTACAAGTATCTTCATACTCTACTACTAGACTGTATTTTAAGTTAGCCATTCAACAAATCATTCATTGGTACTAAAACAAGTCCTCAAGTCTCAGAATTCCCAGAGCAGAGCTGTCAAAAAACTGGAATCCAGTCTGGGAGACAACAGACTTCCTGTAAAGGGACCCACTTGGTCTCTCTCCATTACCACTACTTTACTCTATTTCCTTACAGAAAGCAGCCACAGACCATACGTCAGTACATGAGCATGGCTGTGTTCCAAATGGCAGCAGGCCAGGTATATGCTGGAACTGGCCCCTAATTCCCGATGTGGCTTGCCCGATGTCCCCCCACTAATTTCATTACCAGGGCTGAGACAGAGAATTTACATTGAAGAACAGTGCTCATCAGACAATGAGGCTTTGACAGCAACAACATGTTTATTTTATCATCCAGCTGAGGATATAAACACAAAACACTTCTTAACTTAAGTAAAATATGAAAACATCAGGCAATTCCTAGACTACTACTACAAATGTAGTCTTCATCTACAGTAAAAAACTAAGCCAGTCAATCATTTTGGTCTTCATCCCAGTCTTTCTTCCCACTTGGAGGTTTGGGCCCACCAGCTGGTTTTGCCATGATGATCTGAGAAAATAAAAACCACAAGCATATACTTAGGAACTCTACCTTTAAAAGGAAGAGAAAGAATCTTTTTCTATTAGACTGATTCAAGATGAAGCAGTCCTCTCAGTCTTACATACGGCACACGAGACACTACCCACAAAGCTGTTAGCTTCCAGCAATGCTTTGCCGGCTTCTGTGGACCTTAACAGCAACAAAACCCACACACGTTAGTGAAGGGCATCCCAACACATGCACTTCAGTAACTCAATAACCCTATGAGCCAAATGTGAAAAATACCTGCATGCATTACTAGTATAAATCAGTTTGGCACCTGATTTGCTATTTATATACGGAGTTCGTCTTGCCAATCATCTTTATCCCAGTTTCCTTGTGGTTTAGGAGCTTTAGGTCCACCTGCCAGTTTTGCCATTATAATCTAAAGTGGTTGGTACATAAATAAAAATATATACAAAAGTTCAAGACTGAAATTTCCTAATATCTGTAAATGAAAACCATTCAAGTGGCGGGAAATGTGTATTCATAATTACCGAAATATGTAACCTAAAAGAACATACAGCAGCCCCTAATTTATCTAGAATGCCCTAAGTCTGTTCCAAGTAGAACCATCTAGCATTTTTAAGGGATTTGTTTGGGAGAAAAAAACAGTGGCAGCTTTGGGCTCAAATAAAATTGGGACAAGCTAAATTAAATTAGCTGGCTTTCCTCAAAGCAGAACTCTCAGACTCTAATGTACATTCTCAATCTGAAAACTGAAAATAACTATTCGTTGCTTAACCAAATTTAGAGGACTAAGATTTATAGAACATCAAGGGGTCTGGCTTGTGTCTCAAGCAACACAGATTATAAAACATCTTCACTACCACCTCTAATAGATTCAACAACCCTTTTCAGAAGCTTCTATAGGAAATCTAACTTGAAATATTTCACGTAACATTTTATTAATTGAGGTTAAGGTCAGACTGAATTAAAGGGATTAGGAACAGTTTTAGAACCAAGAACAGTTCTTGGGCCTCCTTTCAGAATTTCTGATTCAGTGGGTCTGCTGGGGCCCTGAGATTTTATTTGTATTTTTAGCAAATTCTTACATGATCTTGATGCTGTTGATTTTTGAGGACTATAATTTCAGAACTAGTCAAACATTTGAGCAAAGATGAACCCCAGGTCTACATTATTCAGCACTTAAAACTTGATTTCTAAGTCCCGCTCCTGAACACATACTATACAAAATTAGTCATAACTATCTTGAAAAGTACAAGTTCATTATAGTAAACTGGTTACTTGGTAGTCAGGTGGGTTCTTCACATACGTAATTTAGGAACGGCCAGACGCACAATGAACAACCCGCTGTACCATGAAACAAAACAAAGGCTTCCCAGTTTAAAACCCAAAATTGAGAAGTGCCTTTGTGATGAAGGCACTTGTTACTACAATCACTGTCTCACTTGGATAAGACATTCAAAAAGTTCCTCAGTTAAGGAACTTCCACCATTAGAATTCCAGTTTACCCCATGCTTCGATGTACTTAGCTTCTCCTGTCCCCTATTTTTATTCTCCCTTACGCTTAGCCACATGCTAACTTTTATTTTAGAACAGCCATTTTCTTAGGCCTGTGTTATCACTATTACTCCAAAACCATCTTTTTCTACTGGAAACTACCTAATACACTGAGAGAAAAACACCCTATTAATAATATATCCAGGACATGAACATCCAATTTATTTCCAGTGAGTTGAAACTAGATATTCAGTTCTACTTTTTGGTCATCTCAAGGACCAAAATTAAGAAAAAAGGTCTTCCTTTCACTGAGGCAGAAGGTTTTACTACAATCAACTGGTCCTTGTTATGCTTAGAATAAGTCTAATTTCCTTTCCATGAATTTCTACTTGTAACTTGCTTCTCCCAAGATTAATTTGGCATGGTTTTTACCTAATGGATTTATAACCATGCCCCCTGTGATTACAATTTTCTATTACATGCTTATAAATAACTCACTGCTTAACCATCAGTTTTAGAATTCTGTAGGAAAATGGATTTCACTGCTTACTAGAAAACTTTTGCAAGAAAAACACCTTTTGAGAATTTAGGCTTCTATCTGAACCTAGAATAGTCTTGACTACTCTCCTCTTTGCCTAGTCTCCTTCCCACCACCCCCTGCAAAAAACTGGCAAAAATATTATGATTTTTAACACTTTTAGTTCCTCAAGATGTAATTTGTCACAGCAGAAAGAATTTTATGCACCTAGGTTCCATCCTCTCCATGAACAACTAGAGGTTTCGTTTTCCTTAAGTTGGTGGCATATGCATACTTCTGAGCTTTATGGGTCTTCCACATTAGGACGCAGTGGACCCCTTCTCCATGTTATTTGTATAAAGGGGTTCCCTAGGCTAAAAAATGTCGGAAAACTATGAACTTAAACTTGTTTTACCCATTCCAGTTTAAAAATGGCAAAGGTCTCTTTCACTGGAGAAATCATTTATTCTAGCTGAGATATACTAAGTACAATCTAAAACTGTAACAGAAAAAAAAACCACTTTTTTTGGGGGGGGGGCACCTTAACATTTCTAAATGAAAAATAGGGCAGCCCGGGTGGCTCAGCGGTTCAGCGCCGCCTTCAGCCCAGGGCGTGATCCTGGGGACCACCTGGGATCGAGTCCCACGTCAGGCTCCCTGCAAGGAGCCTGCTTCTCCCTCTGCCTGTGTGTGTGTGTGTCTCATGAATAAATAAAATCTTAAAATAAAATAAAATGAAAAATAAAAGAATATACCTCTGGCTAGAAAAATCAGTTCCATGAAAAAAGACTGAATCATGTAAAAATCAGTACTTTTAAAGATCAAAAATTCACTTGTCACTCACTTGATCCACTCTAAGGACAGTGATGGCAGCATTCGTAGCCAGCTTGATAGCCCAGTATTTTCCCAAGTAAGTGTCTAGAATACCAGCTTCCAACATGTCCTTTACAGCAGGAACTTCAGCCTGTTAGCACAAAAACAATTTTCATTCTTTCACTTTAAATCGTGTAATGTGAAAATGTTTAGCTCAGCAATAAAAACACAGCTCCTTACATAGGAAGTTGCCAGGTAAAAGTACCCCCCCATATAGAACAAAGGCTATTTAAAGGAAAACAGTATCCGACAAATTCTGTCAAAGCTTATTGTTATGAAAATCATTTGCTTACAAATCAGAACATTTTCTGACTTTCCCTTGAAATTTACTAGTTCCATCCTATGTTTTATGTTCACAGTAAGTTCATAGTGTTTTTTTTTTCTTCTCCCCAAATACCTCAATATCTAATCCGACGTTCTTATTTCCTTCTTGATGTACTGCATAGAGTTTAGAGATTACTTCATTGGCCTTAACTCCAGAGTTTTCTGCCAGTGCCCGGGGAATAGCTTCGAATGCCTCAGCAAACTTCTTTATGGCATACTGTTCAAGTCCAGGACGTGTCTAAAACAAAAATGTGCTTAGCA